TTACCAGGCAATATACGACTTCTCTTACGTGAAATCGCAGCTATCACCAATGTCCCCCACTCCACCTGCGATGATATTATTCAGCTGTCCACTCTGCGTGTTCTGCAGACTCGGATTCCGGATCCTTGTTTGGAAGAGAACTTACATCCAACTCCAACCGCCCAGAAAGGCCATAATGAGGCCTTAACAGGAGAGGAAAAACGGCGTGTTATCTCCCTTGCCCTTCGAGATTCCACCCACTGCCGGAAGCCCCTTCATGAGCTGGTTACAGAATCAGGACTCAACATTTGTAGTAACACACTATCTAATGTCCTGGCAGCAGATGGGATCCATCGACGCCGAGCAACCCAAAAGCCTTTTCTTACTGTAAATGCAAAAGCAGCACGGCTGGAGTGGGCATTAAAGTACAGGAACTTTAATTTTCACAAGGTTCTGTTTACTGATGAGTCTCATTTTGAGGCCAGTACCCTCCGCTCATCACATGCCAAGGGAGTGCTTAGACGGGCCGGAGAACAGTATTTGCCACAAAATCTTGACTGGAGATTTTCAAGAGGATCAGCCGCAATGTTCTGGGGAGGAATTATGTTTGGCTATGATGGATCGCAACTGCCCTGCCACTTCTTCCCATCTCCCATTGAAACCTCAGCCGAATGGCGAGCATCCATTGCACGTTTACAACAAGAGTTCCAAACAGATACGGACGATTTCAACTACTTCACTGGACTAGGTGAACCACACACAGTTCCAGTACATAAAACACGCAGTATCAAGAGAAAAGGGGGAATTGATTGGTACATCTACAGAGAGCAAGTCCTACGCCCTAAGATCTTTGCTTTCCTGTTTCAACAGATGACCTTGAGGCAGGAAATTCTCTACTTTGTCGAGGATGGGGCACCATCTCACACCAAGGACTACAATGTGGCGGAGTCACTTGATTGTGGTTTTGAGAAAATCCTACTCCCACCCTGTTCGCCGGACTTAAACCCCATTGAGGAGGTTTGGCGGTATATCAAGGATCAGGTTAAAAGGAGGATTGGCTGGGACTACCGGGACGGAATAATAAGAGAGATCGTCCTAGATGAGTGGAAAAACCTTCCTGTCGACTTCATTAATGGGCTGGTATCATCAATGCCACGCCGCATTGAAACTGTTATTACTGCTCAAGGCGGAAATGAGTTTCATGGCTAGAAGGGTAAGCTAACTCATCCATACTCGGGAGGGTCATTAGAAATCGGAAAGCATAACCTTCGTCTTCACAGAGATTTGTATGGGATCTGCGAAAGTACTTTTCTGGCTTTTAATAACCCTCCCGAGTATCACCACTTTCCTCTTTTTATTTTTTTCCTTTATTTTTTCAGAGCCATGAATGCTCACCTGCCCGCAGTAAACAGAGACTCTGAGTATCAGTAAGAAATCTGCCTGAGTGTGATCCAGACCGGAAATGAATGTGGGCTTGGAGTGTGGACTGTGGGCGGGAGGATGGACTCGGAGTAGAGACTCAGATGACTTGTACTTTTTTTTTTGTCTTGCTTGGAATTGTTCCTGCTTCTCGACTGTTAGTAAAATCATCAATTGTCATAGTCGAATGTAGCTAGCTCAAGTAACTTTTGGAATTCTGTCTTAAGACTAGTGTTCCTACTACTAATCCCTAATTCCGAATACACGATGAAATTACAAGTAGTCTACTGCTCGAGTAGTAGCTGTTCCCCTATGGCCTCCTTAAGTGTTAGGACAATCTGACTTAAGAACCGCCCCCGGGGGCTGGACGTGGGGTAGGTAGGTCAAGGGTGGTTCTGGCAGCTATATTGTGGAAACCCCTCGAAATGGAAGGGAAAACTAGCCGGTTTCCTAAATCCTACCCCCCCTTTCTTTCAAGCTTTCCGAGTAGCTTGTATCAATATTCCGCTCCCCATTCTAGACGAGCTAATATTAGTCCTCCTTGGAACATGGGTTCAATATCAACACCAGTAATTGGTGGGGAAATTCGGCGCTACAGTGCTACCATTGTAGGAAATGGTAGATCTGCGTTGAGATAACTGACTATTTTATACCCATTTTACTTTTGCTGTCCTACTCGTCTGCCCTAAGGGAACACTAGCCCACCTCAGCGCCCAGCCCTCTCGACCTCCCCCAAGTAGAATTACTGCTCGGGGTGAGTGAGGGTAGACAAGTATTGCTGATTCCAAGCTAAATTAACCGGGGTGAATATCGGAAAACTCCATTCGAAGAGCACGCTTCCCCTTTCACTTTAACATGGTTGGGAAAAGTAAAGCGAAATAGAGTATCATAAAACCATGTAAATGAACCAAATAGCCAGCCATGCCCCAACTAAACTATCATATTACTATATCTTCGCCCTCCTACAAGAACGTAGCATGTGTGAGCTGGGTGGTCCTTGCTAGATGGGAATGTTAATCTTCCCTTAGGAGTCGAGGGTGCTATATTCTTGAATGGTATCTGTCAAACCAGCTACCTTTTCTCCTTGGGCAAGAAATATGAAGACCCGATAGTATTTCAGTAGTGTTAGGATGTACGAGTATAGTACTGCAGCATGTAGCGGTCTAGCATCGAGTGAGAATACGGATGCGCATTGCTCTAATCCTGGTTCCAACGAACAACCTACGGTAGGGACGGAATGCGCAAACGAATCCGCTTTGCCCCAGCACTATCATAGTAGTGCACAACCGCCCCTCGGCGTATTCCTGTCCATACCACGTGAGATATCGTTTATCGGGTAAGACAATTCCGATGACTTTTACCGCACCTGGTGCACCCGGGAGTGTAATACGTACCCGATTGCCCAATGCACTGTATGCTACGGTATATCCACTTCATGGATGTATGCCAAGAGCCAAGACACCTCCAGAGTCCTGTAATCAAATTCCAAAAAGGCACTAGTGGCAGCGGACCGACACAGTTGGGCAGGCTGCCACCGCCGAGTGCGGGGACCAAAGTCCGATGTGTCCTTCCCCAGTGGTCATAGGGCGTCCAGGACTCCAAACAAAGTTCGTTGGGTCCTTCCCCGGCAGGTCACAGGGTGCCAAGGACCCAAATAAGGACGGACCATAGCCATTCATTACCCTACCAGTGGTACTGTCACACCCCGCTGTCTCGGATGGTCAGAGTCCTAAGAATCCGTCCGGGGCGGCGAGTTATCCGGGACAACGGATTAGGTTTTGGTGCAAAAAAAATTCACAATCCATGTAACAAAGCCCTTCCCGGGGGCGGCAGCGAAAGATCCGGGAGAGCGAGGTCCGGAACAACGGGGTGCGACTGGGATCGAGTATAACCCCCTCTCACCCTATATGTGCCTATTAACTTATACCTGACTCCAACATTAGATACGGTACCGGCACCCTCAATTTCAGCCCCTCACTCACCATTACCACCAGAATCTATCAGAATATTTTTTCCATTGATACCCACCCCTTCTCTTTCCTCGGGCCACCCCAGCACCCAAACCCATCCACCGGAGAGTGAACCCGCAATTCGGACGATCCGGAGACATGATAGTCCGCTATCTGTATCTCCGGCTCGAGCACGGCGGACGAAAGAGCCACTCGGCAGAGCTAGCCTTATCGTGTAACCCCCGAAGGTGGAACCCGGCGTGGGGGGACCTACTAATAGGGAGAGTGTAGCCGACCTGGCATGTTTTATAGGATCTGAGAGCTCTCCCGTGGGTCTTGTGTTATTTTGCAAGCCTTTGTTGGTGATTTTGTAACAACATGTTCCAGTCGCTACCCCCGATGAGTGTGGGTACTGTGCTCGCTACTCTCGCATGGCAACTGAAATTGAATCGGAGAAACCTTGGGGCTGCGGTGCGGTTTATATTTCTAATCTACCTAAGGACCAACAGGGTTAAGTATATCAATACTCTTAGCGGCCCAGTCCCTCCGGCTTGTAAGTAGACTATGATACCCGTATATGGCAGGAAATTACTATAAATATTAGAGCAATTGGACCCCACGATACTTGCAAGTCGTCCAAAAATTCACCCTTTGGAGTACGAGGGGAGGGGAGGGGGAGAAGAAACGAAAAAAGCGTCTTTCAGTCCTCATCTGAGGTAGTCAAAAAGGGAATTCGACCGACTTTACTAAAGGAAGTAACTCCAACGTCCAAGTGTGGGTCAAATTGGTCCAGTTTCTTTTTACTGTAATACCGTAGTAGTCTGAAGGTATCGGCAATAAACGTTCCTCGCCCCGCGAGCACGCACACTATCCTCTCGTGTCACATATCTCACGATACAAGTATGTATGTATCTTACTCATTTGTCAAGAAGCTATAATAGCTACAAGGCGCTAGGAGTACTAGCAGCACAATAACCCTGCTCACTCGAGGGCGCGGGCACCTGAATAGTGTTCATTGGCGCCGTGGTACTGATGGCAGTGCGAGACTAGGAACAACTGTCGGCATAAAGCTGCAATAGCAGACTACGAGGGCTAGTGCTCTAAGGACCGAGTCCCTGGAATATCTCTTTCTGAAACATACTTAAGATATCTAAAAGATTTGCTAATTAATCCCAACCAGAACCAATTTGAACTCTCCCACCAGTACCGCAACGCCAAGAAATATTAATAACTTTCATACACCCCCTAGCAGAACACTACCTGTATACAATTTATCACACTGTATCTGGAAAGTTGACCTGGTAACTTATCTAATCAGATATCTCTCTCCCTTATGCACCAACTCCACTTGCTCCGCAACAAAGTATCCCTAGGGCCCGGCGGAAATAGAAGGAAAGGAAACAGAAAAAGAGGCAAAAAAAAAAAGGCAATCCACAATTATCACTAACTTTGCTGAGGGCACAACATAAATTCTCCGCGAGGATCTCCCCATTGCCAGGTGCTGGGGTTTCTTGGGCGAAAGATCTCGGGCTAAATACCAAATGTACTCGTAATGGAGGAAATCGTTTCCAATTCCCTCGGGGTCCCTAGAGCTCACTCTAGTCCGGCTGTATTAAGAATAATGTGGTCTTGGTATGAACAGCAATAGGCAATGCAGGAACCGGCCATCTGAGCTCATTTGCTGCTCATTTCGGCATCTGCTGCTCTAGTGGGTGTCGCTCAGGAATCCAATATATCCACATCGGCTTCTTCGTGATCGATGTCCGAGGACAGGATTTGCTATGGACTGGGGTTAGAATCGCAATTACAATCGACATGTTTTTAATAAGCCCCTTCTGTCCCTTCTGCTCACCCTCTCTTCACTCTTTACTCGGCCCTGCCTGTCAAGATGAAAGTCTCTACTGTCGCCATTATTCTCGCTGTCGCACCATTCCTGTCGCTTGCTGCCACCGAAACTCCCAATACGATCTCACGTCCCAAGGACTACTACCAGGGCAAGCCGCCAAAGTATCAGTTCCCCAATCGCGGCAATCGCAAGAAGGTCGATATCAGAGCTTCCTGCAATGAAACAGATGACATTTCTGCCGAATTCCTTGAGGGCATCAGGAAAGCCAATAATGGAGGGACACTCGTCTTAAAAAAGGGGAAAATGTATGTCATTGGCAAGAAATTGGACTTGACATTCTTAAATGATATTCAAGTTCAACTTGACGGCCAGATATTGGTTAGTATATCCGACGACAATCCTGGGACTACTGAACTGACTTATGGTGCAGTTCACCAATGATATCGAGTATTGGCAAAACAACTACTTCCCGCATCCCTTCCAGAACTCCATCTCCTTCTGGCAATGGGGGGGCAAGGATATTGTGATTGAGGGCAGGGGAGAGATCAACGGTAACGGCCAAGCCTGGTACGACGGGTTTGCTGGAAAACAGATTCTGGTAATGGCCCCCAGGCACCTGAGCCCCCGGCCAGTAATGATTCTGATACCTTCCGCTGTTATAGGACCCCAAGAATACCTATCTGCGCCCTATTCTTTTTACCGCCGTTGGTGCTACCGGTCTTTCCGTCAAGGGTATTACAATGAGAAATTCGCCATGTTGGACGAATTTCCTGGCCGACTCCACGGATGTTATCTACGACGATGTATTTATCGAGGCGCAATCTATCAATCAGGTTTGGCTTACCCGCTTGATCCGTGCGCCACACCAACAACTAATTTGCTGATACCAGAATCGCCCAAAAAACACCGACGGCTGGGATACTTATAATGTTGACAGATTAACTGTGACCAACTCTGGGGCCAATATCGGCGACGACTGTTTTAGCCCAAAACCTAATACAACTAATGTTTTTGTCCAGAATCTCTGGTGCAATGGTCCACAAACCCCGCTTCTCCCTGCTGATTGTTCTCTAGGCTAACGGTATTCAGGAACTAATGGAGTTTCTATGGGTAGCATTGGGCAGTACCCGGGTGTCATGGATATCATCGAGAATGTTTACGTCCAGAACGTTACCATGCTGAATTCCAAGGTACGCAGTGCCTCCCACTAGCAGCATGGGGTTAGTCTAACTGTTAGAATCTAGAACGGTGCACGGCTCAAGGCGTGGGCAGGTTCTAATGTTGGCTATGGCAGAATCAACAACGTAACATACGAGGACTTCTATGTTGACAATGTTGACAATCCACTAATCCTGGATCAATGCTACTTCAACCTTAACGAGGTACTCCCCATTCTAGTCGTACCAGCCCCTGAATCCAACCAATGCTGACCGGCGATCCCCAGACCGAATGCGCCAAACACCCCTCGGAGGTGGACTTCACCAGCATCACCTTCCTCAACTTTTCAGGGAAATCATCAGCCAAAAGAGGACGGGTTACAGTCGAGGCGGTATGCTCCGAGAACGCTGTCTGCAAGGACATTTACATGGAGGATATCAACCTTCACTCCCCATCCGGCGACCCTGCGGTGGCCATCTGTGATGGTATCAAGGGTGGTATCGGGATCCCCTGCCTCCCAGCGAATCACACCGATGCAAAGGCTGCGCTAAAAGATAAGCCCAAACCACCAACAGCGACCGGCACATAGAGAGCGAAGGGGTGGGGTTAGGTTCGCGAAAGAAACAAAATATCCAGCTCTAGTTTTAATGCCATACTGTACTATTATCGGAAAAGTTATCCTAATATAAGCTCTGGAATACTGCACTTTCCCGGCCAATTCCGAATATTTTTTTTATCTTCCTCTGCTTTTCTTCCTCGGGCAACCTATGCCACTCGACAACCCTTAATACCCAAGCTCATCCGCCCGTGGGACGCCACAGATTGGACAACTGGAGACATGATTCCCCTCTATCCGCATATCCAACCCAAAGACAAAGAGAACGAAGGAGTCGCTGGGTTGAGCCGGACTTATATAGTGAAACCCCGAAAGTAGAAGATGGCGTGGGGAAATCTGTCGATAGAAAGAACACGATAAGTGCCCTACCCTAATAGGAGTAATGTGCTAGGACGTTGTATCATAACTTCCTCTCGTAGTAAGGCGCTGTGTATGTACATACAGTACCCCTCTCGCCCTGTCTCAGCCGAAGGCTACTATCCTATATGATGCCGGGAAAATGATAACCCGATCCCCCCTTCCTCTCTTGCATAATTATGATACCTGCAGTTACCAGATTGTCTACAATACTCGGGTACCAGGGGTGTTGTCGGGAGATATGCGGTTATGGGGTTTGTGGCTGGGTTTTCTGAGGGTGAAAATCACAAAGACGATAGTCTAACATGTGCCGGGGCCTGCACGGCAGAGATAACTTAGCTGCCATACCGGTACGGTACGCGTTGCCGGGCGTCTGGTTCGGGGGTGAGCGTCGGGAGGAGGAAGATAACCGAGTGCACGGAAACCCACGCCAAAAATTCGGTGGCAAACGGGTTCGGGAGGGCTGTTGTACTCGAGTACGATACCAGCCCTGTTCTATGATATCACACCAACTTATGTCATCCCTGAAGCACCCATCCACAGCTGTCCAAGAAGGAGTCATTACAGTATATCAGCCGTTCCCTAAATACGAGCTTAGTAGTGAAGCATCTCCATGCGTTTGCATCCTTTGATCCGCCGGACTGACTCAATACCTGCTTGCTTTTCTCACTGTTTTCATGGTATCAGTGCTGGTATGACGGCTGCAGGGTAGATCGAGTCATCCTCAATTCCGTCCCGCGGCCAAACCCCACAGCGCAACAGGACGCTGCCCAACACTACGGTACTCGTACTTAACTCCGCCAGGGTCAACAGAGCCTTGATCTCATTCCTATCTTTTCCCTGCTCCTCAACCTCGGCAACTTTCTTGAACCTTTAGTGAGTTCACCTTCATTCATCACCTTCACTCAACGAGCGTTCAATTACACCAACAGACCCCTCCGCTCAATTGTTTCCAGCACCATGACTTCCATGCCAGGACCAGCCCCGATAGTTGAAAACATCAAGCCCAAGAGGACTAGGAACAGAAAACCTAAGGACAAACCAGCTAGTAAGATATCCGAAATAACGTTATCCACGTCCCCACAGACCAGACCGAAAGGCTATGTAATACTCACAATTATCTCTAGTGTATTCACAAGGCGAAGAGGGATCCTCAGCTCTCCAACCTGAGGCTTCTCCCACAAGCAACCCTCACAGCAGTGTTGGTGGCCGCGGGGGTAGAGGTGGTGAGCGTGGTGGTGGCAACACCCGCCGGGGTGGTCGAGGAGGAACCAATAGCTCCGATAACAAGGGCAGAGATCAACCCTCCAATCGGAGTCAAGGTATCGGGGAAAGCTCCGGTTCTCAAAGCGATGCGGGCGTCCAGATTTCCCACCCAAGGCACATCATCAATGTCGATCCTTCAAAGGTTGTGAAGCGTCCTATTACACGGGGCAGAAGTGAGTTTATATCGCAGGTCCTGAGAAGGTTCGAATGTCGTGGCCAAGTTGCAGACACAGAAATCACCGTATCCATGCCTCCCTCAGACCCCGATTTTCCCTATGATATCAAGCAACTTGTCTTCAAATTATTGATCCCAAAATCATACCCCGAATCTCGGGACGTGCTTCCTTCTATTAAAGTTATGAATGAACACATTCCCATGGGGTTCAGGACGAATATTGAACGTGGCTTCGATGGCCTTGCCACTAGAAGGGAAGATGCTACGCTTCTTGACCTCCTTAATTCGTTAGACAGAAGTTTGGAAGGATTTTTGGCCACAGAGAAGATCGAGACACTCAAGATTGTGCCAAATACTAGCCAGTCTACTTCACGCCAGCCCAGCCAGGACCAAACACCACACACTACTGTCCAACCGCCCAAGCCTTCGCCTCTCCTGGCCCTCCCAGTTGATAATTTGACCACCGAAGAGGTCAGTACAGCTCAAGCCAGGAGGAAACGTGAGACCCGCCGCTTAGAGGCAAGGATGAGAGAATCAAGTGTCTTTAGAAAGTCTGAAGATGGCACTCGCTACACAATTCCAATTGAACCAAGGAAAAAACACCAACTTCCAGTCCCTCTGCAGAATGTAACTAGTGCGGTGCTGATTGTCCCGTTAAGTTATGACATCCATCGACCTTGGTTAGAATTTTCCGGAGTGCCTGAGGACGTAGTTAGGAGGGTCAACAGTGGTTTCGCCAAACAAATCCAGACGAATCCAGGGTTCTCCTTAATGGAGAATATCAATGCGTTATGTTCGAATCTGCACATCATTTCCACACAGGAGGAGTCCTCGGAGAATCAACTGGAGGAGTGCGTTGAAGAAGCAGCTCAATCTCTTGATAACCTAGCAGTGGAACCTACGACCGCTACTGTTCCTGATAAGGAAAAGCCGGTAGGTCTTGTCCCGGATAAAGACCACATTCAGGTTATCCCACGTCCCCCAGACTGGAACGTCCCAGAAGATGGGGAGTCTGATGACGATGAGGATTCTGAATACGATTCCGATGACTACGTTTCAGGCGATCCCGAGGACAACTGCGAAGGTCCTATCGGTCAAATGGATCAGAAAGTCATCGAGCGTGGAACAGCAATGTCCCTCCCAGGTATCGATATGCCCGGAGTTCAGCTATTGGAGATCGCGAAACTCAATGTTACCGTCAAGTGCTCAAAATGCAAGAAAGAGCTTGAGGTCAATGATTTGAAGCCTACCATGCCCGGGAAGAGTTCCAAACCTAAGTTGAGCCAGTGCGAAAAGTGTTCTCGGGTTCTGGGAATTGGTAATACTCGCAACCCATCGATTAGTGCTTAAACTAACACTCCTGTAGGATTTCGTCAAGAATTTGTTCACATGAATTCCAACCGTCTCGGATTCTTCGATCTCGTGGGTTGTGCGATCGTGGAAATACTTCCGAGTGATTTTATTCCGCAATGTGCTTCATGTTCCACTTCACTCCCACCGCCCGGTATCAAGGGTCTTGTTCCTGGGCAGAGACAGAGCACAAACTGTCGCCAGTGTCATGCGAAATTAAGTGAGAATTTCCATCTCGAGCTTTCAATAATCTAAGCGCTAACGTGCTCTTCAGGCATCCTCATTCCGGAGATAAAGTTGCTGCGTATTACCTCTGAGGATGAAAGTAAATATTACAATCAGTTATTCATTAAAAAGTTGTATTGGGCAAATCCTAATGAGTTCCATAGTGTCAAATGAGCTGGCATCTCAGGTTCCTAATAAGAAGGTACCTTAAAACTCACAATACTATCATGTTAGCCATTTCTAAGATTCCAATAGTCCACTGAACGCGAGCGCTATGTCATCGGCCATGAGTTACCCTTCCAGGGGCGCTGTGCACATTACAAAAAGAGTAGGAATCCTTTGGGCAACATCAAATAGGCACCTGCTAACAGCATCTAGGCACTCGCTGGTTCAGGTTTTCTTGGTAAGATCTGCAAAGGCCAATTAGGCCCATATAATGATGACACGCTGCTAACCCGATCATCGCCTGCTGGTAACAGTTGCAACAAGGTATGCTATTATGCTTAATTGGCGCGAAGCCAAATGCTAATCGTGACGCATAGGTCTTTCCGTGTGATAAATGTCACGAAGAACAAGTTGAACCCTTCCATCACTGGGAGCATGCAAACAGAATGATCTGTGGAACCTGTTCTCGGTTAGTGCACCCGGTACCACTCTCACATGACCCAGCTACTGACACATTGAGCACATCACACAGCGAACAGCAGTACCGCCCGGAAGAATGCACATACTGTAAGCATGCATTTATCAAGAGGTACACGGGTTATTGGGAAGGTGGAACAGGGACCAGAGATAAGAGGCTACTGAGAAGGAACGACCCAAGAAAACATAAGCGGGTTAATAAACCCGTGCTGTAAATGCGCCAATCGTAACTGGGGATGCGAAGGGTTCCCAAGCCGCTCGCTCCCTATTAGCTGCTAGATAGTTTTTTCCCAAGGAAATTCAAGCAAAACCAAATCATAAGCTGAAAAGCTCGACCGAAGTTCCCTACATTCATTATAGTTATATATATACGCAGGGGGCGCGGGTATTATGCCCGGACTCAAATGTAGGTAGACATGTCATGAAGCACTAGAACGATACGCCTCCCGGTGAATAACCAGCTCTGCCCAAACAAATGAAACCAAACCAAAAAAAACGCCGTAACAATGCTGCCGCAAGTGTCCCGAACCCTATGAAACGGCGAGAAGGAATATATACATAGCACCCCATCAGTCATCGTCTGACCCGTATACGCCTAGGCCCAACGAGACCCCCGGTTGTACACACCCGATCCCCTCGGCAGCCGCCATCTTGGGCGGCTCACCCGGCTGCTCTCCATTCCGAGCATCAGGCTGAGGTCCGGGTTCGGTCTCAGTCCCAACCTCCATCTGCTTCCTCTTGAGCAATTTAAACTCCAGCCCAATCTTCGGTTTGTCGAAGCTCAAAAACGGATCCACTCTCGTCCTCGTATTCCTCCTAATCTCGTTTTGTAACTTCTCCCTCGCAGCCTCGGCAGCTAGCTGCGCCTTCGTCTTCCCCGTCGCATCCCTCTTGGAAGACTTCTTCGCAGAATCCTGGCAAGTAGTAGCAGCGGTAGAAGCATTAGCGAACAGAGGCTTTGTCCTAGCCTCCTCGACCTTATCCCCATAGTCCGGTCCGAATTCGACCAATTGCGCGCGAATCTTATCCTCGGGAATTTCGTCAAGAAGCTCAATGTGGAGCCCTGCGCGGTCACGGATGGCTTCGTTCGCAGCATCCTTCGCCTGGAGCTCCTTCCTCCTCTCCCGGAACACCTTTCGCATTTTTCTGGAATGCTCGTAGGGGTCGAGCCACTGCCTATCGCTCAACCCACGCAACTCCTCGATCCTCTCGGTGCTCTTTTTGACGCCCTCCTTATCCGTGACCTTTTTCTCCACCGCGGCGAATGGGTCGTCCGGCATATTCGGATCTCGAATGCGGATTTCCCCCACCACCGCCCCAGCTGCCCCTTCCCCCTCCTCCTCGTCCCCACCCTTCTTCTTCCCCCCCTCCGTGACAACGTACCTCGTATTCTTCGGGTCCGTCTGCACCTCGATCCACCCGCTGCAGCTGACATGCCGCATGCGGAAGCTGAATATCGGCGTGGTATGGTACTTGCCGATCTTCTTCTTCTCGGCGTTGAAGCGCACGCCCTGCGCTATGTGTCCGTCGCATGTGAGACAGAAGATGCCGAAGGGCATTTCGAAACGCACGGTTTGGGTGTTGCCATGGATTCCCGGGGGCTTCTTTTTGTGAAGTTGGTTGCCGGTGTAGATGCCTTCTTGGTCCGGGGGAACGTAACGTCTGGGGAATGGGTGTCAGTGCAACGTGCAGGGGAGAGAGAGAGAGGAGGGGGGGAAGAAGTACCCCATGTTAAAACCCTGCATGATTGCGGTTTTGTGTGGTCTGTTTCGTTCCGCTGATTGTTTTAGAGGGTAGAAGTCTGGTGAAGTCTGGTGAAGTCTGGTGAACTTTAAGCCTATGGCGGTGATAGCAGTACCGGTATTGAAGATCAAAGGCGGACTAGCCGTTAGAAATAGACACGAGTAAATTTAAACCAAACTCCCCGAGCTAGAGCAGATGATGCAGGGCAAGCGAGGAAAGCTCCCAGCAAAGGCAAGAAAACCAGTTCGGATGGGGCGTCGGAGCAGCTGCCGAAGTTACCCTGTCAAAAGAGGCGAGATCTGAGTGAGGCACTATGATTCCTTGACTCCCAGAAGCGCCTACTTGTACCGTACCATACCGTACGGAAATGGCAGAAAAGGAAAGAAAAGGGTGGGCACCGGTAGTGGTGGGAAGATGTTTACCGTATCAACAAATCCCTGCAGCACCAGTACCGGAGTACTAGTACGAGTACTTGTACCCCACCACCACCCAACCCTGTTCCATCATGTTATCGCATTACCGCAACGCACCCAACATCAAAACCCGTGAACGAACGACCCACGGGCGAAGCTTCACGAAAACACCAACACTAATACCGCAATTGTTGCGGGCGAGGTTGAAAAGGAATATTTAACCACCGCCACACACACCCCATTCTTCACCAACGGAAAGAATGCATTCCTCCAGTACCCGTCCGTCGACGCCCACCCCACTACCGGGAGCCAGACGCACCGCTTGGTCACTATCCTCTCAATTAACCGCCTCGCTTCCACCCCCTCACGCAGCAATAGCTCCCTCCGTCGCCGCTGACCAAAGCCGCTTGGAGAGCCAATCCGACCGGATAACCAGTACGATTGCTGCTTCTACTCTTACCGCAGCAGCCACCGGTACCAACGGCGGCAGCAGCAACAACAGCATCAACAATAATTCATCGATTTCATCATCATCGTCATCGTCCGCGGCGGCGGGGACAGGAACAGCTTCTGCACCCTTTACTCCAAGACGATTAAATTTCCCCGGACGATTATCTTTGCAGATGCCTTCTCGTGGACCTTTATCACCGGTTTTGGATCCTGCGCTTGGTTACTCGGTCGCCAGGAGACCCAGGCTTGACTTTGCTCGGGCTTGTATGATTGCATCCTTTGCCTCTTTATTTACTTGCTCATTTATTCATTGGACGGGAGTCTATGGTTTGATAGTAGGCTGACGACCTTCGCTCACAGGCACCTCTCTCCACCATTCCACCCTCGCCGAGCACCCTTCCCCAGACTCCTCACCACTAAACCATTCCTACTTCCCAATCCCACGGAACACCAATCACAACAAAGGCTCCGACTCGCCCATAGCGAACCATCATGCTGGCGGCGGTGGCCACCATTCCTCGTCCCATGCATCATCGTTGGGCTCTACCTGCATGCTGGACTACGCGCCTAGTGTCGGCGACAGCGGTTCCTCGTCTGACGAGGATTTGGATGTCGATCTGGACTTCGAGCTCAACACGCCTACCACGCCCGCCATGTCGAACAACGAATCCGCCGCCTCCATTTCCTTGAGGAATCACCAGAAGGCGAGGCTGGGTGCTCGCGGCAGGAGTAGGCATAGCTCGAATTCCTCCGCTAGTGCCAGTAACAGTAGCCTAGCTAGTCCTTCACCTACCACCCCACCAGTACAGCTGGGGAGTGCCTTTACGGGGGGATATTTTGGGAGGCCGCAGGGTGAGGGGGCAGGCAGGAGGAAGGAGAGTCTTAGTCAGGTTTTGAGGAATTCTTTCAAGATTGGGAAGCAGGGCGGTGGGGCCGGGAGTGCTGGGCTGTTTGGCGGGACTGCGAGCGAGGAAGAGAAGGATAGACCGGATCCCATCAGGAGGCCAGTGTCTAGACGTGGGTCTTTGCTGGTGTGTATATGGGTCCTTAGCTCGAGGATGGGGGGGAGGTTACTGATGAGTTTGTGCGGAATTTAGCCCAAGACAAAGAATTTCCAACGTATCAAAGCTGCACTCATTGAAGAGGCTTCACCGCTCGATATGGAAGTCAAGAGGGAAGCTGAAATAACTCGCCAAATCCGTGATGAAGAAGACAATTCGCCTCCCCCAGGCCCAGCAAACGCTCAAGACGCAGAGTTATCCGACATCCGTGAGGAGGACGAAGGCATGAGTTACGGAGACAGCAATAAAGGAATTGGCATCAGTTTCTCCAAGCAAGCCCAAAGACACGGAGGCTTCTGGTTCGGAGACCAAATGGAGGGACTGGGCGGCAGTCCTCCTGCATTCCCTGGTCTCAGAATGTCCACTGACGGCGACATAATGGTGACCACTACCCTCCCCCTCCTTACCCCCCTTTAGGTCTACCTATACTTATGTGCAAACACACTTAGATGAATTCGGAATCTGTCGTAAACTCACCTGTCGCCAGCATGCCAGCAGAAATTCGCCGGGCGAAGCGTAGAAGAACTCAAGATGAGCGCTTTGAGCCCAACGTTTTCAAAAGAAGGGCCGTATCACCGGGCCTCTCTGGCAGCCCCATACTCGCGGCCTCTCCGCCTCTTGGCGGAGGGGGTGGGGGGAAGAGGTTGAACTTTCAGGGCATGAGTGGTACGTTTCTTTCCCTGCAGATGAAGTGATGGGCGGTATCTAACGCTACCCAGACACCCACGATGCAATTATGAAGATGAGCCTTCAGTAGGACGGTTCACGATCCTCCCGTTTCCCCTCTTGTGGCCTTTTTGTGCCCCTATTTCGTGTATCATCCGACTGCCTGTTTGCTTACCCCTTGTAGGTTGGATGGCGGAGGTAGTTGTCTCTCGCTTTTTCTTCCCTTATTTTTCCTTCGCTTTTGTGCTTATTGCTCTTTCCCTTCTTTGCGTGTACTCTTTTTCTTTTTCTTTTTTTCTCTCTCTCTCTTTTTAAATCATTAGGGAATGGGAGTTGTCTTGTTCTTTATCTTTTTTTCCTTTCTTTTTCTCTTTTTTCCTTCAATGCTTTTCTCACCCGAGATTTTCATGTCTTATATTCCTTATTTTTCACTCCCTTCCCGAGTGTGTGTGCCTGGGTTAGGGTGAGACAGCGGAGTTCTCCTGTTACATTACCGGTATGATACCATAAATTATGCGGTATGATGCGATGCCGCACGAACAAGTACGATACAAACACCGTACGAGTACTCGAGTACATGTTCGAGTACGGCATTCACGCTTTCACGGCAGCAGCCGCGATGCGTAACTCAGTGGGTGAGAATCTTACGAAGGCAGGCAAGGCAGGGCAAAGCAAATATTGCGCTGTTCAAAAGCTTGAACCCCGTGCCGCACCGTACAGCATTTGTGGAATTGAAGCGTCGATCCCTTATCAAATACCGGGAGAAGGGAACCCAACATGCGAGTACGGTACTCGTACAGTATCAAACCCTGTTATCGCGTTACGCCATAGCCAGATTTTCTCCGTTCACGTGCGCACGTGCGCGTTGTGGCGCCGAGGAAATGGGGAGGGTGTGGACCCAGGGGCCCAGTTAGTCTAAGCGGGGGCCGCACACAGTGGAGCTTCTGTGGCTATCATACCGTGACTACCGTAGTTACTCGAGTACCGGTACTGGGGTGTGGAGCTCGCGGGAGATTGTCGTACCGGTATGGTACGTTAAGTGAAGCGATGGTGGTGTGTAAGCAAACAGAGATATGATACGGGAGGGGTGCTGTCCCCCTCGCTTCCTATCCCACAGTATCTCTCTAGCGGGGAGTTGCTGTGAATGGGCGGAACAGAGGGAGGCGGAGCAAGTCGATTGTGCTACTCGAGTACAGTAACGCCAAGGCTCCATCATGAGTGGGAAAGAGCGGGTTTACATCATGCGTAGGAATGTTTGGGATCCGAGAGGTGATAAGTACAGCACGGTACGGTCGTGGGTTGCGGTTGTGGTATTCTGTCCACGCTCTTGCACTGCTCCTCCCTCCTCTCATTCACACGCACACCCACTCACTCTCCCCTTCCCTTCACCTCCTTCCCTCTTTCTCTCTTCCTCCTTCCGTCCTCCAGACATTAGACCGACACCGGTACATCGCGGTTTCATTTGATACGGTGATCTTGTAACTTTTTGCGTTGCTATTTCCGATCAGCTTCACGTGAGAGCGTCGTCGTCGTCATCCTTTTTCGGTCTTTCCTCTTGTCCCTCCCCCCCCCTACGGCGCTCTTCGGGGTCCAGTTACAGTGGCTACCCCGCTACCTACCCCGTCCCGCTACGCTTCTTCCACCTCCCCCTCCCCCTCCGTTACATCTACTTTACCCTCCGTGCAGCTCTCCCGTCCCCAAATCCTGCCCAATCAACAAACCTACTCCTGTCCACCGACCTGCCCATCTATCCACCGCTGAAAGTGTTTGTTTGAGAAGCTATGGGGATCAAGTAAGCCCCCCTTCCCTTCTTCCCTTCTTCCCGCAATCTAACACCGACCGTGATAGCAATCCTCTCCCGGCGAGTCTGCACAGCGAGTGCCGTAAGGCCTCCAGGATCCTGGCTTCGTTTGTTGATCCTAAACAGAGCTTTGGCCCTGATAAGATTATCCCACCTTCCGTACTTTCCAACGCTAAGGTGGAGCTCCCCCTTTCTTTCTTTCTTCCCCCCCTCTTGTCTTTACCCTTCCCCCCCCCTTTGCGAGTTGAGAGGCTGATAATTTGATTTGCTGGTGAGTGGTGGGTTAGGGGCTGGCTATTATCACAGTGCTCAAAGCGGGCTTCTTGTTCTCGGGGAGAGTCGGGTCTGGATTGGTGATTGCGAGGAAGGCTGATGGGTGTATGTTCTCATTTCTGCGTCTCCTGAGCATATGGCTGATTTTTGGTGAAGCCTGGTCCGCTCCATCCGCAATCGCCACGGCTGGGTGAGCAATATTTGGAATATTTTACTGCCGGGACCGGAGACTAATCAATGTGCTTTGTAGCGCCGGTTTTGGGGGTCAGATTGGTGCTGAGCTGACTGACTTTGTCATGATCTTGAATGACTCGAACGCTGTCAAGACTTTCGCTCAGGTTGGCAGCATCACGCTTGGGGGAAATGTATCCGTAGCTGCGGGTCCCGTAGGAAGAAATGCGGAAGCTAGCGGCGCAGCAAGTTTGAGATCTGTGGCCGGGATCTTTTCCTACAGGTGCTCTAATTTTTCCCACTCGCCAAGAATCCTTGCATTGTCGTACAGTCGCTGATCCCGAGCAGTAAAACCAAGGGTCTTTTTGCTGGTGTCTCCTTGGAGGGTTCGGTGATCGTGGAACGGAAAGACGCCAACAAGAAGTTTTACGGAGGGAACGTCTCCGCTAGGCAGCTGCTCAGCGGCAGCATTTCCCCACCGCCCGATGCCGACGCACTCATTCGGGTCTTGAATTCTCGTGTATTCTCTGGAAATCTTACTGGTATGAACTATGACGATATGTATAATGATATTCCCACCTACGACAGCGATAGAGACGAGTCCATTTGGGAGGGTCAGAGCGGCAATGCTTATGGTGAAGGGACAGGACGGGGCTCAATAGGAAATCGCAACCTGTCCAGGTCTTCAACTTGGAGGGACGACCGGGACAGTGGCTCCCCGCGCGGGGTCTCTAGGGCGTCTACATGGCAGGATGATGTGTACGACCGGGATAGAAATAGAGGTGATCCTGCTGATGCCGCATGGAAAGCATCGCACCGTCCAGACCCTGCTCAAACGTTCGACAAATATGAGAGCTCCAAGAGCGCTCAATTCCAGAGGCAACATTTCAACAGCACCTACTCTGATAAGTCGCCTTCGCCCAAACGACCCACGGGGCCCAAACCGGTCTTTAAACCAAAGCCGCCGCTCACAAATAAGGCTGAACTCAGTGCCAACCAAGCCGTTGCCTTATACACCTTTGAGGCGGACCAACCGGGTGATTTGGGTATGAAGACTTCCGGCAATTGTGGGCGCGCTTACTGAATATATTTTTTTCTACGTTTAGGTTTCAAAAAAGGTGACGTTATCACTATTGTAAAGAAGACTGACTCGAAAAACGTTGGTATTACATGGAAGCTTGACTGTATACATGCTGACCACTTTCTTTCAGGACTGGTGGACTGGCGAGATCAATGGCAAAACAGGAATATTCCCCAGGTGAGTGGTAGTCCCCTCCCACCTTCCTGTATGGAAGTAAGGAAAACGTGGGGTTTTAGATCTTGGAAGCTTATGGATCAATCCGTTTTAGCAATTACGTCGAGACCATGTGATGTTTTCAATTGGGTCGAGGAACGAGATGTGATGATGAGAGGAGAGGGGGAGGTAAAAAAAGAAACTTGATTTTAGCCTAGTTATAACATTCCTATAGTACGGTACTTCTACTCTGGTATATCTGGCTGTGTGAGCGCGTATGTATGTGCGTGTGATAGATATTGACAATTTGGTGTTTAGCTTTGTTTTCTCCCTTTTTCTGTCGGTCTTCAATGGGTATTGGTTGTTTCTTTCCTTCTTATCCCATCGCTAGCGAAATTGTTTTCTGTGTTCTACACCTCAAATTTGCGTTTAAGTTACACAGTTAGTTGGTGCACTTGTGCGTGCTGGCAAATACTCGTACAGTGCTGCCTGTTCCAGAAGCATATTTCCTAAACGAAAAGCAGAAAGGAGCAATACCGTACCCGATTGGCAAAGGTTTTCTCCTTTCTTCCCTTCTTGTCTGCTCGTGGGATTTGCTTTGCCTGCCGTACGGTAATTTCAACTGAGGCTCGAGAGCAGTCAGCTGATGCAAAAACAGCATCGTGGAGGCTTTTGCATGCCCAGATTGGCCGATCCATTGTGTGGGGGGCTTCCCGCCGGGGAAGGGGAGCCCCGGGCTAGGTTAGGATGGATCCAAAAGACCCTGAAACTTTTTTTCTTTTTACTTTTTCATTTTCGGTTGTTTTTTTCCTTTGTTTTTCCCTTCCTTCTCATCGCGCACCCGTGTACGTGGGTTGAATGAATGAGACGGTGGTGAGACGTTGTGAACTTGTGCGGAGCCGGGATGGACGTTTGGTTGAGGAAAGGGGAGGTTCACGATACCGGCATTGAACTATAGCTAGGAAGAAGGGATGGAAAAGGGGGAGGGTGTTGCATAGTACAAGTACATGAGCATATACATACCGGCATTGCGCCAGCGCGGGACGGCTCTGCCTACAACACGATACTTGTACAATCACAGTGCAGAATTTACCTCCCCTTAAAGCTGCAAGTAACGGATTTGTTTAGTTGGGGAAACAATTCCTCCCTCAATTCCTTCATTCTTCCTCCTCCCCCCTTCTCCACCGAGACTCACCATTCATAAGATGTCCTCCGGCCGGCTAATGGTGAATATCATGAGAAAAGAAAAGAGAATAAGGAGGGGCAGAAGAAGAGATAACCGTCCTCTTCGACCTCCCATGAAGAGCTACCGTAGAGCACGGTACCGGTACCCATACTGTGACTTATCTTAGCCGGATAAGTCGTATCATTGAATTGCTTGTACCGTACGTCGTATCTCACGTTCTCATTGGGAAACCATAATTTCCACTGGTTTGGTAAGTCGGGTGTGTGTGTGTACAGCACGGTACCTGTGCGGTATTGCTACTCACCTGCGCTTCTGGAAGATGTTATAATACCGGTATTGCCCAGATTATCATATGGATAAATCTCCGGCGCAGAGCTGATATCGATATCTTGCTTGGACCGCTACCACATGCTCTCCCCATTCGCCCTCTCTACTTTGTACAGCACCGTTCCGGCACGATACGGTACGTTTCTGCGACCGCAACCGCAGTGCATGGTGCCGGTAACAATGTTTTTGTCACTTGACTTGGACTGCCGGTACCATATGGCATTAAGGTACGGTACTCTACTCGAGTACGGTCCCGTGGGAGAAGCCTAAGACCCGCCGGTGGGTTGGCTGGCTCGGAAGATGGAAGGCCACTTCCGTGATCTCGGGCCTACGGTCTGTGCGAAGGTTTTGGTTCGCTCGTTCGTTCCCAGGGCGGGCTGACTGTGTGTGGTATGGTTCAGTTTACCGTACCGATACCCTCCCTTCGACCACTCAAGGTAGGTCTAGGTACACGATGCTTATTTATGCTGCCACCGTGGTGCCGTAGCACGATACTCAAAAGGAATGTGTGTGTGTGTTTCCCAGCCCTTTTTGAAGTAGGGGGTGGGTGGGTACTCGAGTATATATTGAGCGCTCCTCTTCCTTCTCCGGGTGTGGAGGATTATCGGATTTTGTTTGGCTCGTTTCTTGATTTGATATCTCTCTCTCTCTCTCTCTCTCTATCTCTCGCGGAAGCCTTGCCCTGAACTTGACTACTCGACTCCACTTCACCTCACACCGTTCCGGTGTCCTGCATATTGCATCTTTGCTACCATAACACGAATTGTCCCGTTTATTCACCCCTTCCTTCTCCTGATAAGTTGATACTTGCCGTTCTGCCTACTGTTCCTCCTCATCAGCAGCGTTACAGCAACCCAACTCTTGACCTCGAAGCTAGCTTCTTCCCAACAAGCAACTACTTTTATCGTCAAATACCGTACCGGAGGAATTGAAGCAGCAGCAGGAGGGGAAACCGGGAGAGAGGGAAAACGGGACGAAACACCGTACACACATTCTGTACGGTACAGGTCCCTTCTTCCCCTACGAGTACTTCTGCACCCGAGCCAGTTAGAAAGCTAGCAGCTGGCTTTCCCATTTTCATTTTTTCGTTCGTTTCCCCTCATCCTTTTCTCGTTTTCATAGCATTGCCCCATAACCCGTAATTCTACCACCCATATCCCTCCCTCCCACTTCTTTCTTTGTACCTCTTCTCACTCTCCTACCCCTCTCTTCCCTCTTTAGGGTTTAATACACCGCTTCAATCCCTCTTTTATCGGTTTGCCCCCGCCCCTGATACCCGTACACTATCAGTATTTTTTTTCTTTTCTTTTTCCCAATTTTCTCTTTTCACTATTGGAAATCCAAATTCCTGACGGTTGATGCCTTAGGATAAGAGGACGAGAACGCCCCACTCCCAGTCACTATTTATCCAGTAGCAGCCACAGACCAACCCTTTCTCAACTATTCTTTTCTTTCCTCTGTTAAATTAGATTCCTTTTTGTTTTCCATTACCCAATCATGTCCTTCGCTCCTCAGACTCCTGCTACTTATCGGGATACCGGTATGAGCACCACTTCACAGCAGCCGGATCAACACCACCAGCAGCAGCAACAGCAGCAGCAGTATGCTACCACCTCCTCTTCTGCAGCCGGCCACCCGCTGCTCCCCGAGGCACTTCAGAGGTTTTGCTTGGTTGGAAAGGTTGCCGTTGTCACGGGGTTTGTCACCCCCCCCCCTCATCTCTCCACAATCCCCATTCTTGCTCCATCCGTCGGCTTGGGCCAGGTAGGTTGGGATGTAAGTGGGGCAGTTTGCTGATTGGAGGCCTTTTACCCTTTTAGTGGTGCCCGAGGTTTAGGGTATAACATGGCAGAGGCCCTCTGCCAGGTTGGTTGCAAGGCCATTGCCATCATGGATGTTTTGCAGGAACATGGTGATGAGGCGGCGGAGGCTTTGAATAAGAAGTATAATATTGCCGCTGCGTTCTACAAGGTTGATGTTCGCGAGGAGCAGGCTGTTCATGATGTTATCCAGAGCGTATGAATCCCCTAGTCTCACCACAATTAGATGACTGGCGCTGATTTCCTGTTGATAGATCGCTCTGGACCTCGGGAGCGTAGATGTTCTTATCTGCTCTGCAGGTATTGCAGAGTACGTTTTCGCCAACAGGTTGGACTCTGAACCAATTGCTGACGCTCTTTTCACTAGTTCTAATATGCCTGCGGAAACATACGATATTGGGCGATTCCGTCGTCTGATTGACATCAATCTCACCGGCACATTCTTGTGTGCGCAAGCCGCCGGAAGAGTTATGATCGAGCAGGGAACCGGAGGTTCTATAATCTTCATCGCTTCCATGTCGGGGCACATTGTCAATTGGCCACAACAGCAGAGTTGTTATAATGCCTCCAAGGCGGCTGTCATTCAATTGGGCAAGTCGCTTGCTGCCGAGTGGGCTCCTCACAAAATTCGCGTTAGTACGTGATCTGCGTGATTGAATTCCTTCATTGGCTTGGGATTGGAGAGCTAACTGCCGAAATAGACTCTATCTCGCCCGGTTACATGGATACCGCTTTGAACCGTGTCCCGGCTCTTGATGCCCAGAAGAAGATGTGGTGCTCACGCACACCCATGAACCGTCTCGGAAATGTCGATGAATTAAACAACACCGCCATCTTCCTTGCATCCGACGCATCGACCTTCATGACCGGGTCTGACATTATCGTAGATGTAAGTGTGCTCTATCCGTCATCTGCCGCACAGTACTTACGGAACATAGGGTGGCTATTGTGTGTGGTAAAATGCATGTATTTCACCCTCACCGTTTGTCTGGTCACCCTCTCACTCATCCTTTCGGCCGATAATACCTCGAATTTCAGTTATACAGCATGCCACTAGAATTTTACACATCGGAGTCTCTAATATTTCATAATCTTTTAACTTGACGACTTTCATTCTGTTGCATGAGCTTCTGCAAGAAGCAGGTCCAAGCCAATCATGGTAGGATTTGATCCGTTTGGGGAATAGAACAATGGGGGCGCACCGGTAGAGATTATATGGTCAGACAGGATCTTTTTTTTGTTGCTTTCCCTTTTTGTGCCTCGTCACTGTCCTCTATTGTTATCCATTACCCGAGAGCCATTGGTTTGAGCGTCCCGGGATACAAATTTCTTTCCCCCTCAAGATACCAAGCGCTTTTATATATCACCACCTGTGTCTTTTCAGGTTCACGTTTTTCCTCGCAGATATGCATGTCCATGGTGGATTTTCCATTTACATTTTCCTGTCTTTCCTTTCCTCTTCTAAAACTTAGACTCTATTCTGTTCACTCATGTTCTAATAGAATCCATCGCAAACATAGAGGGAAGTGGATGGGGGAAAAAGCAGAGTCTTCGTTGTCGCAATACCGGTATACGCGTTATCTCACTTGGAGCTTTATTATATATATGATACCATGTTTGAGCATTTGATGGAACGCAGTACGAACAGGGATGATGGTAAGGCCGGGAAGGCGTTCCAGGATTTACATTAGTTTATTTTGTTCGGCTGGGGCCGTGCATGTTATGCAGGGAAAGGGACATGAAATCGGATCGAGTCTTTTTTTTTCCTTAAAAAAAAATCTTTTCGTCCCACCCACTTGGTTCATGATCAGTGTTGCCCTCGAGGGTTTCTGAATGGGTTTGAAGTGGATCGCGGTCCAGTGTCCTTGGGCTATGATTGGTAGGGTCAGTTGGGGCATTCTTGCTTGCCCCCACATACAGTGACATACTCGAGTACAGTAGTAAGTAATATCACAGCTTAAATGCTGCTGGGTGCGTGCTTTTGCGGAAATCATACACCGTTGGATGGCATTGTAAAAGGGGGGATGTGGTACCGATATACGGTACAAGTACATTGCTGCAAACGGCAATTGCTGCCTGCGATGCCCTTGTTATCGATAACACCTTAACGTCTGGTATCTTGTTAATGTGTGGGGTGCCGGGTTGAAGAGTGCGAGACAACTGACGAGAATTACACGAGGATTGAAGCTTTGTGGCCACCATACAGTGGTGTTAGGCCTCTAGCGAACGCCCATTGTATGATATAACAATCATTGGCGAGAAGAGTTTATGACATGGCGAAAGAAAAAAAATGAGACACAAGCGGGAGCGTTTACATGGTATTTGGTTATCTCCAAACTGCTCAAGTACTGTACGAGTACAAAAGGGCTTCTGACCTTATGCATCCCCCTCTCTTCATGGGATACGTGTGTGTAACTGGGCCACCAGTTCCATCAAGCAACCAAATCTGGCTTGCCCCCGCCAAAAATTCTGAAGGGAAAGAGTACAGTACTTTTTTTTTTCTCACCACTGCGGACGGTACAGTCGACGCGGGAGAAGAAAGAAAAGGGGGAGAGAGGGAGAGGGAGAGAGGGGAAGAAGGGTAGAAAGAGAGAAAGAAAGAAGAAAGAAAGGGCGTCTGTGACGCCGATAGGTATTAGCTGACTTGCATTCGAACCAGTAGGACGGGAAAAGAGCGAAGAAAGGGAAGTACTTGTAGGAAGGAAAAGAAGAAAAAAAAGAGCGGTGATTACAGAGAGTGAACTCGTTTTCCCTGCCGTGCTGTACCACCCCTCCACTCACATTCCCTCATAGTCTTTCCTCACTCCCTTTGCTCTCTTTGCTCTCTCTCCGTGCCCTCACACACTCACACACCTACACCCACACCACACCCTATCTTCACCCCGCCGCCTCCGTCTTGCCTTCTCACATACCCTTCCGTTTCCTCCGCTCATCTTGCTTGACCTACCCCTCCACCCCATACTACCATACCACCATACTATCCCTTCATCCCCGCCCGGATCTTTTGTGGATGGCGGCATCGTATGGAGCTTAGATCCCAACCTACTCGCCCACCTGGAAGAGCCGAAGTCAGTCCGACATCCGCTGAAATAAGCTCTTCAGCCTCAACCCTCTCGTTGCTAGCAGATCATCCGCTATCACCCACCCTTCCTCCCTCTGACTTACTAAACACTTCATCGACCCCTCCATCCTTACCCTCTCCAAGTTCCCCGCAGCCTTCGGGTTCACTTGTTCCCACATTCGCTCCCACCCCAAGTACACCCGCGGGCGACCCGGTCACATCTTCCGCCTCTTCTTCCACAGCTGTATCCTCCTCCTCGCTCCCACCCTTATCCGCCTCCATCCCCACCCCCACATACGCAACCACGACAACGGCAACAACGAGCAGCGGAAACACCAATCTTCCACGAAGGTAGTTATACACCATTTCTTCCTTCTCGAGTCCTGCTCACCCATCATTTCTCCTTCCCACAACAAAAAAATAAAATAAAACCACAAATTGCCTAAAAGTCCGCTTGTTCATGCCTCCTCGCAGAGTAACTCGTTCATCAACGAGACAATTGTCGGACCAGTCCGCCTCCTTAGCCAGTAACAGCAACTCCCAAACCCCCGTTGCTAGTCCACCCACCGCTACCACTGCCCCATCCTCTTCTAAACCGCCTCGCAAACGCAAAAGCTCGGCTACGGCGGCGGAGGCTTCGGAGCCTCCCACTTCTCAACCTAGGAGCCGGAAGCGCTCCAAGGCAGCCTCGTTTTCTTCCTCAATCTCTAATCAACAACCCGAGGTTCCTGCTGCCCCACATTCTAGTCGGCGAAAGGGGAAGGGGAAGCGTGCGGAGCTTGATATGAAAGATCAAGGGTAACTTCTCGCTTTTTTTTTTTCTCTCTCCCCTGACCTTAATTTCTTCTATATTTTACTCTTTTCTTTTATCAGTACCCTATTTTTTTTTTTTGCTTGGATACGTTTTTAGCCCCGTGCTAATTTCAATAGACCTGCTGGTGAGCCTAGTAATTCAATCACAGCACCTGACGTTGCGACACCAAAGCGTAGAGGAAGCCGTAGCAAGAGATCGGTAGGAGGTAGTCCATCTATTCGCACCCAATGGTTTCGAGAGCCCCCCTGACTAAGCGTTGCATAGATAACCCCGCCACGCCTTCTTCTACCTTCTCATCCTCCTCTCGTCGTGCCGCACCAAAAATGAACCCAGAACACAACGACCCCGACGTCCCTATGAGTGAGCCGAACGAGGTGGAGGAGGATAACTTTGACGAAGACCATGATGAGGATATGGCCGACCATGGAGTAGGAGATGACGATGACCGAGAGGAGGACTATGAGCGCGAAGACGACGACGAGGATGACGTCTTTGAGGGGAGCTATCTCGGGGGAGTTGGTGGGTCTAGCGGGCTCTCAAACACCCTGCGGGCACTTTCTGGAATGGTGTCAGGCATTTCTTCCCGGCTTCGCGATAACCTTGCCAGTCTACGTCAGAAGGACGACCCCTCTACACAATTGATCGCCTTGCAGGATCTCGCCGAGATCTTGCTAGTATCAACCGAAGATAACCTTTCGGGTCACTTTTCCCCCGATCAGTTTGTGAAAGAGCTTGTGAGCTTGATGGAGGATCAGGGGCCGTTCGGAGAGAATCCGGAGATGATGCTGTTGGCTTGTCGTTGTATCGCGAACCTTATGGAGGCTCTGCCGGCGGCTACTGCGAATGTTGTGTACGGTGGTGCAGTTCCTGTTCTTTGCCGGAAGTTGATGGAAATTCAGTACATTGATTTGGCTGAGCAGGCTCTGAGTGTGAGTTTACCTGTGTATCGTTTTAAGTTTTGGTATGATGACTATCTCTAATTGGCTTCCCCTCACCTAGACTCTTGAGAAAATATCTGTAGAATATCCGACATCTATTGTGCGGGAGGGGGGACTGACGGCCTGTCTTACCTACCTTGATTTCTTTGCTACTAATGTTCAGAGGACAGCAGTTACCACTGCGGCCAACTGCTGTCGAAATATTCCCGATGATTGCTTCCCTACGGTTCGGGATGTTATGCCTATCCTATTGAATGTTTTGGGGAGTAGTGATCAGAAGGTTGTGGAGCAAGCTTGCCAATGTGTGGCGAGAATAGTTGAGAGCTTCCGTCATTATCCCGATAAATTAGAGCTACTCATGTCGAAAGAGATGATGAATGCTATCCTACAGCTACTCCTTCCCGGGACGACAAATCTTGTTGGACCTTACATTCATACACAATTCCTGCGTGTCCTGTCGATCATTGCTAAGGCTAGTCCCAGGCTGTCTGTGGACATGTTTAAAATGAACATCGTGGATACCCTGTACCAGATTTTGACTGGGGTTTCACCCCCGGTCGCGCATGATGGGGCTGCAGTGAAGAACGATAGTGTTATGACTATGCAAGCCCTTATCCATAGACCAAGAGAGCAAGTATCTGAGACGCTGAATGTTATATGTGAATTGCTGCCCGGCCTTCCGCATGGTAAGTCCTATCGCGGCCCCCGTTCGACAGTGTTAACCGTTTGCAAAGATGATGTTTTCGGCGCTGCCTTTGGTTCCCAAGATGGTTCTGGGGGGGCCGTCAAAGCTCCCTCGGACGAAGGAGAGGGTGACGATGATGATCCGGACGATAAGCGACGGAAAATGTTGGAGGGTTGCAGGGGCGAGATGAAACGCTTTGCAACGGTTCTCTTGCCGACTCTAACGGATGCCTACTCGAGCACGGTCAATCTCAGTGTCCGCCAGAAGGTCCTTAACGCGCAGTTGAAGATGATTTCCAATTTGGACGCGGATATACTCAAAGAATCATTGTCAAGTGTGCAGTTTGCTTCACATTTGGCGTCTATACTCTCACAGCAAGATCATCCTACGCTCGTATTGGCGGCGTTGCAGGCCGCCGAGCTACTTCTTCGCCGTTTGCCCGAGATCTACCAGTACCACTTTTACCGTGAGGGAGTTATTTCTGAAATTTCTAAGCTTGCGTCCAAGAAGGATGAACAGGCGGCGTTGGAGAAGGAGGCTGCTGAACGCGGGGATATCGATCGGGAGTCTGAGGATTCGAGAGATAGCGAGGATCGTATGAGTTCTTCGCCTGTTAGCTCTAGGTCTTCGTCTTCGTCTCGACATGTTCCTGCAAGCACTTCGACCGGAATGGCTGACTGGATCACTGAGAAGGCTAAGAGGTTCATGGAGGGCCACGATAAGGATGAGGATGCTGAGACTAAACAGAGGGCTATCATGATCATGGAGGAATTGAAGGGCTTGGCTGCCGGACTCAAGTCCAAGAATAGCCCAGAGGCCTTATTCGAGAGGTTGGCGACATACTTTGATAATGATAACTCGCTAAGCTCAATCTCTAGCTTTGAGCTTTTGAACTCCCATATTGTGGAGGCTTTGCTGGCAGTTTTGAGTAGCAGTTCTGGTATATTTATTTACTCCTTACCTGCATGTTGCCGGTTGGCTAACTGATTACAGATCCACGGAGTATGGACATTAGGCGGGCTTTCCTTGAGGTGTTCATGCGTAGTGGTGCGCATCCGGCTGCTAGCAGTGAGGGGGATACGCCTTTCAGTGTTCTGGTTCACAAACTTCAGGACCTCCTTAGCCGCTCCGAGCACTTTGAGGTTGTTACGGTCCATCAGAATACTTTCGACGGAAACCGTAGTAGCGCTGCATCTATGCTGGCGAAGCAATTGCGCTTGAAGTTGGTGGCTGATGAAGATTCTGAGATTCCTCGACCCTACCGTAATATTATGGTATCTATTCACGCCATTGCTACTTTCAAGGCTTTAGACGACTATCTTCGACCCAGGATTTCCTTATCAGAGCGACCTAGAAGTGGGCGCCGGGATCCAGGTAGTGCCGGCGGTGGACTTTCTAATGCTCTCGCGGCATTTGCTGCGGCGGCCGGGCTAGCGGCCCCTAATTCTCGATCGGGCGGTCTCCCCGGGGACGCTGCGTCTTCTTCCACCCCAGCTCCTCCTAGACCGAGACAGGCGAGACGTCAATCGAGGAGTAAGAGGTCCAATCCAGAGGGTGCATCGGCTAGCAGCTCTCGGGGGAAGCTTCCAGGGACTGAACGGGAGAATCAACCAACTCAGCCTTCCGGGCAAGAGCCACTTGAGTGTATGGATGAGAGGCCAATTCCCGAAGATGATGACATGGATGAGATGGATACTGTGTTGGAGGACTTGGATAGGGATTTAGATGAGGAACCGGAGCCTGAGGCCGGAGCGGTTAATTTGGAAGTGGGTACCACTGGTAAGGTTACTGCCCGCAAAGACGATGGAACCAGGGTAGCAACCCCTTCTGGTGCCCCCCCTGCTACTCGCAATCCTGGATCCTCTTCGCAGACACCTACACCGACGAATCGAGGTCTTCCAGCTGGCTATCCGGGGGCAATGCCATCTCCGCTTGACTGGCATATCGAATTCAGTATTGGCGATCACGTTATCTCTAATGACATGACAATCTATAGAGCGGTGCAGTTGGGGAGAAACGATACGGCTGAGGATCAAACCTTCCGAAATGTATGGTCAACCGTTCATCCCATCAAGTTCCGGAGAGTCACAGGACCCACACCCCCAGAGGGCTCGCTCTCTCCTGCTCCTGATAGTTCCCAGATCAGCGTTGGATTTCCTGCGTCCCTGGACAAAAATAAGGTCTCATCTTCAATTTTACAATTGTTAAGCATCCTACATGCACTCAACGCCAATCTTGATGATGTTTTTACTGGAGATAAGGAGGCTATGAAGCCAAAGAACCCACAACCTCTCAGCCAGTTTGTCAATACGAAATTGACTGCCAAATTGAACCGCCAGTTGGAGGAACCTTTGATTGTTGCAAGCGCTTGCTTACCTAGTTGGAGCGAGGATCTTGCTAGACTTTATCCGTTCTTGTTCCCCTTTGAGACTCGTCACTTGTTCTTACAGTCCACTTCATTTGGATATTCGAGGTCTATGACCAGGTGGCAGAATTCGCAGTCCACCGGCGACTCTAGACAAGACCGCCATCGAGACGATAACCGGCCATTCCTTGGTAGGCTTCAGAGACAAAAAGTCCGGATTTCTAGGCTTCGCATACTCGAGTCCGCCATCAAGGTAATGGATCTTTATGGCGCCTCCCCTAGTGTTCTTGAAGTTGAGTACTTTGAAGAGGTTGGCACTGGACTTGGACCTACTCTTGAATTTTACTCTAGCGTATCTAGGGCATTCGCTAGGAAGAAGATCAAGCTTTGGAGGGAAAACGAGTCTTCCCCGGAGAATGAGTTTGCCTTTGGAAAGCAGGGACTGTTCCCGGCTCCTATGAGTGACAGCATGGCAGAGTCCGAGAACGGGCGTAAGGTTCTGCACTTGTTCACCATGCTGGGTAAATTTGTGGCACGCTCAATGTTGGATTCGCGCATTATCGACATATCCTTCAACCCGACCTTTTTCCGTACCGGTGAGAATGCGGATGAAGCCGTCGCGCCATCCCTCGGCGCTGTCAAGACTGTCGACAAGGATCTCGCAAGCTCCATGAAGCTTTTGAGAAAATTTGCTTTGGCTAAGGAAGAAGTTGACAGCAACAAGACTCTCAGTTCGGGCGGCAAGGCTAAGCGGGCTGCTCAGATTATGTTTGACGGAGCTCACGTGGAAGATCTTGGGCTTGACTTTACGCTTCCGGGGTATCCGCATATCGAGCTCGCACCAGGTGGTACCAATGTTATGGTTACTATTGACAATGTCAAGGAATATGTCGATAGAGTCATTGATCTTACCCTTGGGAGTGGTGTTCGGCGTCAAGCCGAGGCTTTCCGTAGCGGGTTCTCGCAAGTTTTCCCCTACTCTGCGTTGAGAGCTTTCACGCCTGATGAGTTGGTTATGCTCTTTGGCCGCAATGAGGAGGACTGGTCTCTTGAGAGTGAGTTTTTGATTTTCCGTGCGTCCTACAAAAAGTTACTGACGGATTTTCTCACTTTTTCTCTTTAGCGTTGATGGACTCTATTAAGGCCGATCATGGATTCAACATGGATAGCAAGAGTGTACGTAATCTCTTGACCGCCATGAGCGAGTTCAATTCCCAGGAGCGTCGCGACTTTCTTCAATTTGTCACCGGCAGTCCGAAACTCCCTATTGGAGGTAAGTAACTACTTGTCTCTTATTGGGGGTGCGGCATTAACTTTTAATAGGCTTCAAGAGTTTAACGCCGCTTTTCACCGTGGTCTGTAAACCAAGCGAGCCGCCTTACACTTCGGACGATTACCTCCCCAGTGTCATGACCTGCGTCAACTACCTCAAGCTCCCAGATTACTCCACATTCGAAATCCTCAAGCAGCGGTTGTCTGTCGCTATACAAGAGGGACAGGGAGCTTTCCATCTTTCATAACGCGCCGGCGGGGGGTATGGAGAAACAAAAAAAAAAAAAGGCAAAAATGCAGCATCACCAACTAGCTAACTTGGCGTTTTGTTTCATTTTTTCCGTTTTTCTGGTCATTTCTTTCATTTCTTTACACAAGTCACATTTTTCGTTTTCTGGGAAAGGCTTTTTTAAGGTAGAGAGAGAGGCGAAACTGTTTTGTGTTTCTGATCGCGATTTGTCATAACATAGTTTGGTCTTGTTGCCCTTTTAACATTTTTCATTTTTCCCTTCCACGTCTTTCTCCTACTCTCATAACCCGATTCTCCATTTGCATGTGTTTGTCCCTATCTTTTTCTCATTACTTGTGGCATGATGTTGGCTTCTGGTGGGGGGGAAGATGAGATTGTGATTTGGTGCAGGGGCTCAAGTTGTGATTTTTGCATGCAATACGATAGGTGGCTTTTTTTTATTTATTTTAAGCTGGATAGGTCAGGGCCTAGGTTGGGCGGGATATGGCAATCAAGTTCATAATTCAGAAATGGTCAAGTTAGCTGCTGTAAGTTGAGCTGTTCTGCTGGGACGGTGGCTGAGTTGGTACTCATTTGATAGTTATGATATCGAATAAATTTCCGCTCAGGAGTCAGTGCACTATACGGTGCGAGTAAATTTCTGTGCTGTGCTGTGCTGGATGACGTGATGATACGGTGGAGACCATTCCCGAAAGGGTAAAACCATGTGGAAATTTTTCCTGCGCGTCGCGTAGTAGCGTGACCACGGCGTAACTTAGCCTAGCCGCCGTGACTAACTCTACCCTAGTCGCGTCCACTCTCGCTCTATCGGATCCTATACTTGTACTGGATTGTGCTCGAGTAAACCAACGCACGGCAGCACAGCTAAGGGAGGAAAGAAAGAGGGAAGGAGAGGACTTGCTTGGCATGTCGTGAAACGGAGGGAACAAAGGGCGAGTGCACAGCTCACCAATTCACACACACTCTACTTGATTTAACCTGTCCCCACCATAAATTACACTTTTCCCCTCCCCACCACCGGCTGCCGCAAACCAAACCAAAAGACCCAAAAATGCCCCGAAAACCACCCCCCACCCCCCGCCCCGGCCTAACCCAAACCCGCCTCGCCGGCCCGAACCACCACGCCATCAAGAGCATCCGGGAAAAGAAGTCCTCAAAATCACCCGCACCGCCGCGGCAATCTGCGCTGTCCTCTTTCGGCTTCAGCAAGGAAGTTGCCACTACAACCACCATTGCCAGCAGCGGCGGAGGTGATGGGAAGAAGAGGGTGTATGCCTCGGATGACGAGATCGCCGAAACGCAATTCGGGTTCGCCACACAGAGTTTCGAGGGGGAGGAGATGGGGCCGCCAGAAACGCCCAAACGGAGGAGGAGAGAGGTTCCGAGTTCTCATTCGCCGCCGGGGTCTCCCTGGACGCCGAAGGGGGCGACGGGTGGAGGGATTCCGTTTCGGTTGGAGGAGGAGGGGGAGGGGGAGGAAAGGGTGGTTAAGAGTAGTCAGTGGTGGGAGAATGAGGAGTTGTGCATTTCTACCCAGAGGTCTGGTGGGGAGGAGGCTCTCGATCTATTCAGTACTTTTGAGCCCACAATTGCAAATCCACTTTCACCTTCAACTTCCCCTTCGCCTTCTTTGCCTACCAGGGAAATCAAGCGAGAAGACCAATCCCCCTCACCACCCTCCCCATCCCCACGGACCACCCAGGACTACCCACAGGTAAACATCACGACTACAACAACTCAGGTCCCAATCAACTTCCGAGACACCCCTATCCCTCCCCCTGCCCCACCTCCCGTTCCCCCCACCGCGGCCGCTGCCGCAGACGAACCGGAAGCCGAAGAATCACAGGAGCCGCAACTTCCCTACCGCCACGATACTGATGGCGACGGCGAAGAAATACTTCCGCCATCACCAACCCAAAGCATGGGTGAGGACGAATTCGAAAGAGACGACGGCGGCGACGATGACGATATCGACCCAGACGGATTACATGCATTCAACCCGGTGCGAACGCAACAATTGCCGTCAAGTTTTTACCATCATGATGGGAGGGAGTCCTCACCACCGGCGCTGCCAGCGGTGTTGACTGGGGGGTTTTCGTCGCAGGGCTTGCCAGCTGGGGGGCAACTTGATGAAGAGGATAAAGAGGAGGTGGAGGAGGTGGAGGAGGTGGAAGACGAAGTGGAAGAGGAGATGGAAGAAGTGGCAGCAGAGGAAGCGAGGGGGGAGAGAAGCAGGAGGAGGCCCATCACGGTTAGTCAGTTGCTGCCTAGTTCCTTGATGGAGACGTTCCCGTTACCCCCGCCTTTGTCGCAGTTTTCGAGTTACGAGTACGAAGTTGTGCCCGGGAGCGAGACCCAGTAAATGTGGGAATTTGTCTTTTTTTTTGTTTTTGTTTTTCCCCTCAGATTGCGCTTTAACTTTGCTTGCTATTGGGGGCGTTCAAAATGGCTCGGATTGGATGGGAATGGCATTGAAGGGGTTTCTGCTTTTTGGCTGTGTCGCATTAAATTTTATTTCACAGCATAACCCACCGTATGCTTACCGGTATTATTGAATTTACTTGTCCATGGCTGTCCACCGTGGGCAAGAGCTCGAACAATCAATCAGCGGTAGACTTGGCCGCAGTGCAAATCGCTTAAAACCTACTCCCCCAGAAACCCGGACCCAGGCTTGGATGGGTACTTCCCAACTCTGAATCTTGAATTTACGTACCAGTACATCGAACGGCTATGAGATGGGGGTCGAGTTCCAGGTCCTGTACTATATAGTGGTGAGCCGGTGGGGGGGGTTTGCGCTGTTTATTTATTCATTTGTTTATTCTGCGAGAAGTGAGAGTGCTGGGAGTCAATTGAATCCACTGCAGTCCATGATACAAGTACCGTACTAGTACTTGGTTGACCATCGTTCCCATAAGTGCCAAGCGCCAACGAGGGCATGGTGGGGTGAAGGCAAGGTCCGTATGAAAAACAATAACTTGCTTAGACTATCCATACCTCCCCTCCCCTCATCACCGCGAATCTCCAGCCTCCACCTTCCCGCACGAATCCATCCGTCACCATGTCCGTTGCGGAAACAATTGAGACCGCATCTAGCTTTGTCCTTGATGCTCCGCCCGGAGAGGTACCTACCTACTCACCCTGCCCTGCTCTACTCCCTTGCCCACTCGCTAACCCCTTGACTTACTCGCTCCTCTCCCGCCATAGCTCCAAGATGTGATTGCCGGTTAGTTCTCCCCCCACTTCTCCTCCACCCTGACCAAACCTGACGGGCCAAAGACATAAAGACGCTCGTAAATGATGACCCCGCCGTCCTCGATGGCGTGACACCCGCCATGGAAAAGTACAACAAGGAGCAACTGATAACTACGAAGCTGCCCGGTTCCAGCGAACAGGTCATCATCTCAGAGCACAATTGTCTGCCGGATGGGAGGTTTTTTGATGTGGGGAGTCTGAGATCTTTTGAGTTTGATCATGTCAAGCAGGTTTGTTAATACCCCGGGCAGATGGACGGATAGACGGATGGATGGATGGAGGGAGGGAGGGGGAGGTGGCTGATGAAGGTCGTGGGTGGGTAGAAAGCTTTGAACCCGCAGAGTTGGGTTTTGGAGAGTCGGAATGCGGAGTTGATGTGAGTTTTCTTTTTTCTTTTTCATTTGATGGAAAGGAGAAGTGGCTGATGAACGGTGGTTGGGTGTAGAAAGGCTTTGTTGAGAGATGTAGCTCCGCATGTCAAGGAGCATTACCCCTCGTCTCCGGCGTTCGGGGTGTATCCGATTCAGGGCGATGCCGCGGCCGCCGTGGTGATTGTTGGGAATAAATATAGCCCTTCTAATTACTGGTTAGCATTACATTTCTTCTCCTTCCTCCTCGTTTCCGCCTCGGTTGGGAGCTAACGGGTCGTAGGAATGGCCGCTGGAGATCTACATACACCTATACCCCCTCCACTACTGAGCTTACCGGTACTATTCAAGTGGATGTTCACTACTACGAGGACGGAAATGTCAGGTTGCTTACTACGAAGCCGGTTCGAGTCTCGCTGAACTCAGGTACTTCGGCTGAGATCGTCAAGACTATTGCTAGCCATGAGAAGAAGTACCAGGAGGAGTTGAGTAGGGCTTTTGGAGCGCTGAGCGAGGGGGCATTCAAGAATCTTAGACGGCAACTGCCCATCAACAGGCAGAGGATCGACTGGGAGAAGATTGCGAATTATCGACTGGGACAAGGTGGGTCCCCTCCTTCACCCTCTTTATCTTGGACTTCTGCTGGGGTACTGACTTTAGTACCTGTAGAAATCGGTGGTGGCAGAAGTGTCACCAAGTGAAAGGTTTCCCCATCATTAGATTATCATGCTGGGTTCTCGGCTAGATACCAGCGCTGTTTGTAATTTCCACTTTGTGCGAAAAAATAAAACGACAACTATAAACATGCCGTAAACCCGAGGTAGCTTATCGATCCCGTCTCGTCCTTGCTCCGCGAGTACAGTACAGTACTTTACAAACGACCCGAACGCCTGTAGAGGTAAATCAATCCCATCAACCAACCAACCAACCAACCAATCAATCAATCAAACAGCAAAGAACTTGCCCACCGCCACCACCACCATCATCATCATCATCCATTATCGCCACCCAGCCCTCATAAGGACCCCCCTTCAAAAGAATATCCCCCAAAGCAAATACAAGACAATAACCCCACCCACAATCATACCTGCAAGCTTTATTGTCTGGCCTTTACTCCCGGTGGCCGCCATGCGCGTGATCCGACCGGCACTCTGCTTCAACCCCGTCGTGAAATTTGCGAAGACTTCGTTCTGGGAAAAGGGGGATTACGGTTAGTCCACCGGTCAACCGAAGACAGTCGGGAGCGAAGGGGAGGGTGAACCGAGTCATCGATAATCTCGTGGTCCCGAGCGCTATCGTATATATTTACCGTGACGTCCCGGAGAGAAGTCACCTTCGAAGCGAGATCATCGAGGCGAGCATTGTTCTGTCTTTTTTTTTTTTTTCGGACGAAGGTAAGTTAGTGGGTGGCCGGTGAAAAGGGGGAAGGGGGTTGGTGGAGGAGTTAAAAGTACCTTTCCCGCTCGTAGGCTTCTGACATCTCGGAATATGTTTTTTTTTTTTTTTCTCTTCTTGCTCCTCTTTTCCGGTGGGTTTGGTTTTGGATGTCTTGTCGTGAGCCGTTGTGCGCGATGGTTGAAGCAATGATGTATCGAGCGGTTGCAAGTTACCGTAGTCTAAGTTAATTGGTGTTTGGGAGATGAGCTTGGTACCGTGGCGGTGACGTGGTGGTTGGTGTTGGGGTATATGGGGAGCAATTAACGGGCAACTGTTGTCCTTCGGGACATTTGGTCAATTTGAAACGATACAGAGAAGATTAGCATGGCCCCTGCACTAAGGATGACACGCTTCACAAAGATGAGCTAAACAGTTTTTTTTTGGAACTGGAGTGTGGGGGTTCGAGTCGTGGTGCTGGCGGGTTTTTTTCCACTTTTATTTTTATTTTTTTGTTTTCCGGACACCTTCTCCTTTACCGACTCTAGATTTACCTTGTCCCAACACGCCCCGTCCAAACGAGTTTGTTTTTTTATGGCGAGGGGGGGGGCCTGACTTAGGTATAGTGGACGCTACCGTACTGCACATCAGGTGGGCAACTCTCCCCTGTGATATTGTTGAAAAGGTAGAGGTTCTCCCGCTCGGAGCAATATCGTTTGTCTTGTCCGCTCTCGCGCTTGACAGTGGCTTTACAGAAATTACCTGGGGCATCACTCGGGATTTTTTCCTCGGTCTTTCTCTTCGCTTCTATTTTTTTATTTTCATCCCCTCTCCTAACGAAGAGGAAGCGGTTAACTAGTTTTTAGATATCATGCTCCCAAGAAGTGAATGGGGAGGGCTATGTTGTATCATATCTCAATGACTAATGAATGGGATTCAGAATTTGAAGTTTATTTTTCGGATCTGAGGCGAGCGCTTGATTTACGGTACAGAGTCAGTCGACTTCCGCCCACCTCCTCCAGAGACGGAGGTTTTTTTTCTTTTTCCCCGTGGGATTACCGAAGGGGTATCATAGTTAAGGGATTCCCGCGCGATATCGTGAGCGGTGAAAAATTTGCGTCACTTCCTACCTACGCTTTTTTTTTTGGTGGTGGCCGGTGATGGAGCAGTTTTTGACCTCTTGAGCCTCGCGGTGTATTGCGATTGTGGTTGCGGGAGTAGACTTAGTTACCTACCGGCACCGTATCCTCCTCTCCTATCCCACGGCGTGGTGGATTTAGGAACTTTTCTATCACACGGGCGGATGTATGATATATACCTAAATTACGAAAAAAAATCAAAAAAAATCCTTTCATGTGGAATTGTCACAGCTGGAATATCAGGGGGGTGGAAAAAAAAGAAAAAAAAGGAAGGTTTGGAAGGGGGACTCTGTTGAAGAGTTAGGATTCGGGATATTGTTGTGTGGATATGGAGGAGTAACTTAGTATGGCGTGGTTGTGGTGTTCGTGACTTGTGGTGATCCAGTTTGAGGAATTTCACCACTATCGTACCAGAGGGAGTCTCCAATCTTCATGTCGAGTGATTTCTGGTGATTGGATGTCACCAACTTTTTTTTTTTTCCCCCCGGGGGGGGGGGGGCATGGCTGTCAGTAACCCCTCAACGACAACACTCGGGATCATGTTGAACCACGTATGTATGTTGGGAGGGATACTATACTGTTTTTGTTTTTTTTGTTTTTTCTCCTTGCGCCCGAATATTTATAAGGTAGGTGATTGCTAAAGAGGATTATCACCCCAACCTGCGAATCCACAAGTATCATAAGTTCAGATGTTCCTGCCCCGCCTATACCCACAGGGAATTCCCCAGATCCTAGCCAATACGAAGGTTGCGTATTCCGTGGTTATGATACCACATACACACGCCGTGCGAGATACCCGATCGTTTCATCTGCCGATACTCCCCGGGACCGGAACGTCCACCCATCGGAGAGAGGTGCCGTGGACTGGACGACCCGGGGGTGCCTCCCCCCCCCCCCCATCCGCATCTCCGGCTCAAACAAGACGATCGGAAAGAGTCGCTGGGTTGAACGGGACTTATATCGTGCTACCATGGAGGGTGGAATCCGGTGTGGGGAAGGGAATCTGTTCATTGGGGAGAATATAGGTGACCAGACATGGACACTGACTGGGATCTCGATGAAATTTTTGGGTTGATATCATTGGTTAGTTGGGATGACTCCTTATGGGTTACTTGGCTTGTTCTATTATAATATTATTATATGGTTTTATGTCTTTTGGCTTATTTTTTTTCTTTTTCTTTAAACCTTTCCTACAGTTGTATTAAAGAGAGTAGGATTTGGCAACTTTCAGCTCGGTCGCTGCTTCTTGGTGGTTAGGTGCCGTTTGGCGCCACAACCATCCACCCCTCCTAGCTTAAAAACATCAGAGGAGAGAAAAAAAAAAGGAAAGAAAGGCGCTGTTGCAACCTCCCTCCCTCCCTCCCTTCCTTCCTTGTTGCAAAGCCTTTTCGGAGAAATATATGATACCCGGGATACTTGCTACCCTTACCACCTCAACGAGCAAATGGTGGATTGACGCAACCTATGATACTAGAAAAAAATCTCATACAAGCTCTACCGAGTGATCTCCCATGATTGTAGTTTGGGGATTAGTTTGGTGATCGATTGTGCCCGAGCTGGTTGAAATTTAGAGATTTGGCGCTGTTGTCGCTGCGTGTGCTTTTCGGGTCACATCTTCTGTTAGTGTGGGATGTGGTGTATCATATATAGAAAGATATGATACAGTTAATACCTTCCTCCCCCCCCCTCCCCCCTCAACAAGCAGATGATCGAACCAGAATTTCACCGAGTGCTTATTCGTGAACTAGTCTAGCGGCGGACATCTATATCATAAATCGAGAAGGAAAACAGCCCAGACACCTCAAAAGGAAAAGATGACTCAAATTCGTTTCACAATCACATGCAAAGTTTCTATCATGCCTTTCCCCTTCTTCTGCCATGCCAAATAAAATAAAAAGGGGGAGATGTAAAGAACGGGAATTTTTTTTTTTTTCAAAAAACACCAATCAAACCCTATCCATGAGCGCCTCCAGCCTTGCCCTCTTCTCATCCTCGCCAAGCTGCCTGAGCGCCTTCCTCCTCCTCCTCGTCTCTCGAATGCCAAAGCTAGTGCTCAATATCTCGGCCACCTCCTCGAGGGTGAATCCGCTCAGATCGGGGAACAAGAGCAGGACAAAAAACCAGCCCAATAGGCACAGCCCGGCGTAGAACCCGAAGGCACCGCTGGGCGTCATCCGGTCCATCATGGTCAGAAAGGTGGATCCGAGGATCAAGTTGGCGCCCCAATTCGTGGCCGTGGCCATGCCGGTTCCGAAGCCGCGCACGTTGTAGGGGAACACTTCGGACTGCCCCACCCAAGCAATATTGCCGATCCCCAGGGCGTAGAACATCACGTAGATTATCTGGCTCACCAGGATTAGGATGGCCCAGCGGTTTGAACCTGTCGCGTTGATCTCGCCAGTCGCGGGGTCGCGGGGAAGGTAGTGGAAGGCTACTGCGCAGAGTATCAGGCCGGCGGAACAGCCCCAGAGGGTTCCGATCAGGATTCTGCGACGGCCGATTCGGTCGACTATGGTGAAGGTTATGCACTTTCCCCCATCATTTGTCAGTAGGGCGCGTGCAGAGTACAGTAGATTTTGGGGGGGGGTGGCGTGTGACTATGTAAGGGTGAAATTACCGTCATCAGGAAGTTCGTTCCAGCAACGATCAGACTAACCGCTGTTGGATTTTCAAATCCAACAATCTTGAAGATTGTGGCGGAACTGCGGGAGCTATCAGCTGTTGCGCCAAAAAAAAAAATAGCTCTCGCGCAACTAGGATACTTACAAGTACATTAAAGAATTAAAACCAGAGAATTGCTACCGTTCGTTACTATCGATGGGTCTCCTAGAGCCCGGAATATCACCACCCTACGGTATGCAGGGCAGACATACCTGAATACCCTGCAACCCACAGGCAAGAATTAACGCCCGAAGGTTGGATGGGACGACGTACAGGCTCTTGAGATCATTCTTCGCCTTCTCCCACTTCGTCCCCGGTCTCTTATCCTCTGTGAACTCGCGAATATACGCGACCTTCTCTTCAATGTCCACTGCTTGCGCTCCACTGTAGATTGTGAATAGCACCTTCCGGGCATCTTCATCTCGGCCTTTGCGAATCACTAGCGATCGAAAGGAAGAGGTATGTTAGAGCCCCCGGAACTCAAGGGTAGGATTGGCAAAATAAAAAGGCCACTCACTATAACGAGGGCTTTCTGGAAGCCAGTATAGTATTATGCACTGAATACCGGCGGGGATTGCTCCGATTCCAACCATTATTCTATCAATTGGCTCATCAGTCAGTCACTGTGGCTCACACTCACCCACGAAAAGAAGACAAGACTATTCACCTCCATCCGGCATCCACGTGAGTGAGCCCAGCGCCAATGCCATAGGCAACGACTTGACCAAAGGTGATGAAAAGTACATTGATGAGAATCATCCTCCCACGATATCGTGCCTGGTTGATTAGTCAGTAGATTTCTCTTTCCCGTCATACTTGGAAAAAGCAAATATAAGGCAACACAAGACTAATGGAGTAATAGGTCTCACGGGAGAAAGCTCGGCGAGGTATAGCGGTACAATCAAACTAGCCAAACCAACGCCCCAACCGATGACGAAACGCCTGCAATGAGAATGTTCCCATAAGTATCCATCCCAAGGTATGTTGGGGAGAAAGGCGAGCTCAATCATACCCGGCCACCATAACCCACACAGACTTGGAGACGGCTTGAATAACGGCCCCTACGATGAACACGATATCCGCGATAGCGATAACCCATTTCCGTCCGATCTGGTCCGCAAGTGCGCCCGAGAATGCGCTAAAGATTAGAGCTCCGAGGGAGGTCGCTGCCGTAATGAACTCTTTCTGTTGGCTGGATAACTCTGCCGGGCCAAGATCATCCGCTATCACCACGAGTGCTCCGGAGATAACACTAGGGGACGACAGACAGAAATCAGTAAAGCCAATTCGACCTCAATGGGCAACGCCAGTACGAGCATACCCGGTATCATAGCCAAACAGTAACTACCGCCCATCAGGATTGATTAGCCCCACCGCTCACCACAACTACCCTCACTGGCATGTAAAGCACGGAGAAGGGAAGGGAAGCTTAAATACCCCGCTAATCCCGGAAACAAATGTCAAAACCCACATCCACAACGTTGGAGTCTCGGAGACCTGCGGCTGGCCATCTCCGGCGGTGCCGGCTGCCCCTCCGCCAACCTCACACCTCCGTTCGACACCCTCGTCCCGTAAACCATGGGTATTTGTCCCGGAGCTGTCCCTCCCGTTGAGGTCCGTGATCTCTCCTCCCGTCATGTCGATATATACGCACGTAGACGCCCACACCCTCACTCACCTTCTCATTCAGCCGCACACGCACTCTATACTGAAAGAGGAAGAAAAGGGTAGAAGGTGATCAGGAAAGAACGGAGATTAGAAAGAAAGCAGGGAAGGGCAATACAATAGGTGTATATATATACTAGTGTATATATCCACCAAGAACTCCCTAGCACAGTCCCTACAGGTATCGCACGGCACGGTATAGTACTGCGGTCCTGGTGACCCGGTGGGGCAGATGATGAGACGCAGAAACGGCAACGAGGAATGGAAAGGAGGAGGTGGGGGGGAGGGGAGGCAGAGGTGCGAGATAAAAAGAGGGCCCAGACAGAATAATTCAGGGGAACGGAAACAAAAGTAGATTTACAGTCTAGCGATTCTATTTAGATGCTCGGCGCGAGGATTTGCTATTCCTCCTCAGTTATCACGTCCTTCTCCCCTTGCCACCCCTGGCCACTCGATGGCGGGGAAACTTGGAACGAGAACTTATGGGGGTCTTCTCGCTGCATACAGTAGATTTCGCCGGTGGGAGGGGTACAAGCAGGTATTATGATAAACGAGTGACATACAACGTTCGCACCGCAATCCCCACCGTGTAGCTATTTAGAGTGCAATACCATCAAAGATCGGATTTCTTGTTTTGTTCTGTTTTTCCCTTTGTGGGGTTAGAAAAGAATATCTACGAATCCATGTTTCGCATCCCAGACCGAAGGTGCCCATCCACCCGGCCACACCCACTCGCCTGCTAGTTTTCTTCCCCAGACATCTATTTCCGCCCATCTACCACAGGTCCCATTGTACCATCGCATCACACGATTCCACAACATCAACCCAAGAAGAAGAGGAAAGGGAAAAAAAGCGCTCATCCGTTAGAAATCCCACAGAACAAAGGACAAAACGCAACCCGGAAACCCCCTGCGCCCGCAGCCCTTCAAAATTCCCTACAAGTTGGGCTATCATGGAGCGACATCACACGACAACCGGACGCAAGTCCGATGCGGCAATGGTGCGGCAACGCTTCCTCCCGCCCTCGCGGGCCCAAGTATCTTAGGGTAAGGCTGACCGCGTGATTGTCCATAAGCATGATATGATGACTGCATTGGGGAGGGTCGAGCCGTTGTAGGGCAAAGAGCGTAAACTCTATCAGTATCATCGCAGTTGGAAAGGTGGTTAGTCCAGTTAACCACCATCTTATATAATACAAGTATCACATCATAAATTCTACCTTCCTTCATTCCCCCCGGCACCAATGAGCGATTGTGCTGCTCCAAGACTTCCAAGTACTATACTACCAGCGGTAGTGGTAAGCTTACAATACACTGTGCTGCACAAACACCTGCCCGTTCCTTGGATATCACGAAATTGTTATCTCAACCTAGAGGCCGGGCGGTTGAACGTATTCTCACAACATTCTATCATAGATTCTCATCCGCTCCCCGGCGCTAGAGGTGGGGCACTCCAGGGGCCCGCCCCAACCTGGAAATCACAGCCCCAAACCAACCCAACGGTGATCTACACAGGATCCGCAGAAATAGCTCCCCAATCCCCACTATTCTCCCCGAGTGCAATACCGGCACACTACGGCACTGTCCTATGATACCTGTTACGGGCACCAAGTGCTCTACTCGAGTAGCCGGTGGGTAGGTTACCCCACCATCACCTCTTCCCTCCCCACAGGAATCCCCACGCTGCACTGAACCGTTGACGCACAGCAGCGGTAGGCCACCACCGGAGTCTAATGTCACCACGAGGCAATTGAATTAAAAATGAAAACCTGGGGAACGTCGGCTATACACCCAAATGCACAGAGTGCCAACCCCGGCGTCCCACGCCGCACCCGACGACAGTGATACGATACGATACTGGAAATGATTGATTCGGTCACTACGAATGGCTGCTTGCTCGCTCCCGGAAATTTCATGCATACACCCGTCTAGGAAGGCGAAACGGCGCAAAAGTATCACAAGGTTACATTGTCACCCCAATGAGCTCACAGGGTCAGCCCAAAGCGTCGATAGCAAATGTAATTGCTCAGCTAGCTCCGGGGCACAAGTAGCCGCTTACCCAGGTGCAAGTATCATACCGTACTCGCACAAGACACGATGTAGTACCGCCACTACTACGAGGGGGAAAGAAAAGGAAAAGAAACACTGTCATAAACCCTCCCCTACGCAGAAGGCGCCTCCCGAAATAAAAACCGTTCCCCAATTGCTCGCATAGCACTAAATCAGCCATCCGAAGAAACGTATTATCGTGAAGCCCCACCCCCCCTCTTCTCCTTCCCAAGTACTACTGTGGTACTAGTAATAAGCCCTAAAGTCGTGTGGGGAGGTATGATATGTCGTTTCGGTAGGAATGCCGGGAAACCAGAACCACAGCTCAGACAGCAAAACACGCCGAGTCTTACTAAGGTTCATTGCACGTCGCCGTCAGCGTAGCTACCGTGCTGAGATAAGGCTCGGTTGAGAGCCGTATTTTGAGGATCCCTTGTGCGTATCCACATTCCCGACATACACCTCCGACAGGACTCTAAACCTTCTCTCCTTCATCTCCTTCCCGTCAACGCCACGCTCCGAAGAACCCCGGGAACCCAAGGGTCGAAATGCTCCGGTTTCCGCTCTACCCCAACCTCCCGGCTAATTTCGGCCTGGCGTTCAAAGCCCGAGGTGGCCATACCCTCGCTTCCGAAAAATCACGTCCACCTCATCTGCGGGTGCACCAAGGGATCGTCAGTGCTGCAAAGCCCATGATTAGGCCCTTGGTGGCAATTGAGAGGAGCGGGGTGGAGGGCGGCGGTGAGAAACAAAAAATTGATAACGTCGCTGCTCCCACTTCCCAAGGGAATTATGTGATGCGTCCTGAAAGTTAGGCCTTTACCCGCAGTGCCGGCGATTAGGGCAGAGCGGAAAGAGGGTGCTTTTGAATGAATCAGATTTTTTTCCAGACGAGAGAAAGGATGGAGGGGGGCGAACTCCTCTAGCCAGTTCACCACCCAAGATTTGAGTGCATGAAGCATGCACTATGGACGCAAGGTGGAGATAGGTTGGTAAAATATGGATGGGAGGGGTAGCAGAGTGAGGGGGGATCGCTATGAGGTATCGGAGGAGAGGTGCTTCGATTGTCAAGTGTTTATGGTGACGACAAGAGTCTCCGGACAAACAAATGAAGAGAAAGGAGGAAGCGGATGCAGTGATCGCTTCCACGGGGTTGCCGTTACTATGCTGTGCCGCGGGTGGACATGATAGGCTTCGTTATCGAGAACGCTGGTTGGCTCGCTTGTCGATAACGATCCCTCCAGACCTCTCGCGTCAAAGCTGTCCCCTCCCTCCACACTTCCTCCTCCTCCACAAAGCGCATCTTATCCACCACCCCTCCACAATCCCCCCCCTCTCTCTCTCCCCGCTCGTGCCGGTAACCCACAACACCCCCCCGCACCCCCCCGGACTCCACGCAACAACTCCCCTCGATAAGGCACGGTACGTTTTCCCCGACCGAAAATTGGTTTTCTTCCTGGGACACTATTCACTTACCCGCCTTCAAGCATCCACCCAGACAATGTCGGCCCCTCTCCCCTCCGCCAATCTGCTGCATAAGCAGCTAAAGGAAATGCAAACGGACAGGGACATGGCGAGCATCAGCGTAGGCCTTGTAAACGATAACATTTATGAATGGGAGGTCATGTTGATGATCTCCGATGACTGCGAATTCTACGGAGGTGAATGAACCATTCCCGGTGATTCGAGGGAGCTCTTGCTACCGAAACTGCAATCAGCTCAACTAAAGAACACTATAAATAATCTCTAGGTGGATTTTTTCGTGCTCGCCTCTCGTTCCCGCGTTTGTATCCTCATGATCCGCCGACCATGAAATTTGAAACACCCCTCTGGCATCCGAACAGTATGTCGTTGATGTGCAGCTGCGCTCCTTTTTTTCTTCCTGATTTGACTCGAGATTTACTTTCCTCCCCGCTACGCGATGACAGGGTCTGATGAGATTGTTAGTCTACTCAGATGGTCGTGTTTGCATTTCGATTCTTCATGCCCCCGGGGACGACGAGTAAGCACCCTTTTTCCTCTTGCGTCTCTTTGCCCGTTCTGGTCGTTCTGCAGGCACAGGGGAAGTGCTACCGATAATGATCCACTATAGCCATGCTGCACCCGTTGAGTCCTTGATAGGATTAATGACATGACTAATGAGTCACCCAAACCTCAACCTCACAGGTACGGTTACGAGTCTGCTAGCGAGCGTTGGCTGCCCGTTCGTACACCAGAATCGATCCTTATATCGGTCATCTCTCTGCTGAGCTCTCCCAATGATGAGAGTCCGGCCAATCTGGTGCGTTTCTAGAAAAAAAAATACAATAACCATAAAAAAAGAAAAAAATATATATCCTTTACGGACTCACTTTCGAGAGATGCATTGAACTGACCTATTCCATCCAGGAGGCCGCAAAGCAGTGGCGGGAGGATCCCACAGGATTCAAGAAGAGGACGAGGAAATGCGTCCGAGATAGCCTCGAGGTTTAATTCTGTACTCCTAGCGGGGAGAGTCGAACAGAAAGATGAAAGGAAGAACAAAAAAAACACCCAAACACCCAAACACCAAAAAAGAACCATTGGCGTTGCATACCTCAAACATAATCACCGTACAGATATTCTTTCTTTTGTGAACGTGTGTAGCATAGAAATTAGCATGCCCAATGAACTCATCCATTCACTCGATATATCACACAAGGCTTCTTATTCAGTTATTTATCCCCTCTGTTCGTGTGGGGGATTCCTTGGTACTTTTTTCCTTTTTTCTCTCCCTTCACTTCCTCTCCTCCCTACCTCCCCCGCCGCCACAAACGAGTGAGCCTATCGCATCCCTTCCCGCATATATACCCCCTTCCCCGTCCATCCTACCACGGCCCCATGTCTCCACCTTCTCCACCTCCTCCTCACCATAACCATCCTCCACCTCACTCCCCCATCCCTACGACACGAGCAGAGCACGGGCACAGCACAATGCACACCGGACAATAAACAACGCAAGAAGGGAAAAGAAAAAGGAAAAAAAATAAAAGAAAAGAAAAGAGGAAAAAAAACGCAAAGGCGACCAAACAAAAAGCCGATGGGGAAAAAAAACAATAAATTTCCGCCATGCATCCCTTGCCATCCCATCCCATCCAGAAGGAAGAAGAGGAGATAAAATATCTCAACATCACCATCATCAATCAACTCCTCACGTAAGGCGGAAGGGGAGGAGGAGTCATGAACAGCCAGCTGTATGGGTGTGACAGCAACCGTCCAGTCCAGTCCAGTCCGGTCCGGTCTAGTCCAGTCTAGTCCAGTCTAGTCTAGTTTCCATTTCAGGCAAGAAACCAAGTAACCAAGCATGAACCTTCCCTCCCCGTTTCTTCACAGGCCCCTCCACTCAACCCTGCCCCTCCAATCCGTTCCCCTCGTACTCTGTTCCACGGCGCTCACTGGCGGGCGGAGTTAAGCGTGGTAACATACATTACAATAAATCCGGTATCATAACCCAAGTCGTCGGTACCGTACGGCACGGTGCTGTGCAGTACCGTACTGCACCGTACCGGCAGTATTACATCAAACGATAATAGAGGATTAGAAATGTACTTTTGGTTATTGTACGAGTACAGTAACTTAGTGTACCCCGCCTCTCGCTTCCACCTCCCCCTCCCCCTTCCCCCCCTCTTTCCGGACATGACCAGACTACATGTACCGTCTTGCTAGTCTATATAATAGACAGATAGTACAGTTATGATACATACAAGCGGTACAGCACATAACAAATCACAATCAATATGAACCCGTGCTTGCAGACGAGGGGAAAGGAGGTACTGTTAACATACTGCTACCGTTACTGTTACTGTTACTGCACCCATTTAGACTACACTTCCACCATATCATACCGCACCATAAACAAAATGGAGATATAAAATATATATACAAGTGCCAGTGGAGATGTTCTCGTACTGTACAAGACAGTGATTATTTTGCGGGTTAACCCAAATTAACTGTGCGAAAAACATTATCCCTGGCACTTGTATATAAATAAATAAATAAATAAAAGGTCATGTGTCGGTTTTCATTACAAGAGAAGGCGGAAAGTGAAAATGTCATGCTACGGTAGGTATGGATGGATGGATGTATGTATGTATGGAGAAGAGAAAGGGGGAAAAAAAGGCAAGGTTAATATAATATAATTGCACTCGGGTCATGCCTTGTCTGGTCCGGTCTGATCTGATCCGGTCTGGTCTGGTCTGGTCATGCCTAAGTTACCGGTGCGTTCGTCCCTCCGCCGCCCTTGGTCGTCGTCGTCATCGGCATTGGATCAATCCATCAATCAATCAATCGGTCAGCCAATTGCCCTTTCTCCTCCTGACTTCGGGAATGCCAATGCATTGCTTGGATGGTTGGGATTATTATTGGGATGGCGGTGCACTTGCAAGGCAACCGTGTGTTTCCTTCTTCCCTTGATGAATGAATGGATGGCTATCGTCGTCTGGTCTGGGAAATTATTATAGATGGATACGACAGGCAAAGGGGAAGGAGCAAGTGACACCGCCGCAAAAGGTCACCAACCCAAGCACGCGCCTGCGCACGAAGCAAGTTTCGTTATTCTGACAAAATAAAGAACAATTTTGATATGATAAAAGTGCATTTTGATTTTTCCCTTGTTTTTTGTTTGTTTGTTTTTACCTACTTTCCCCCTTTTGTTTGGCAACGTTTGCTTTCACTTCCTCCCTTCTTCCTACCATATCTTATATAAACATGAGGACGAATGATGGGCAGGCTTTGGAAGAAAAGAAACTTCAAAGAAAACACACACACACACACACACATATATATATATATATAACAAAAAGTATCAAAAGTCGTGACTCCCGATGCGGACCCGACTCCAGTGAAAATGAACCGAACCCGCCCTTGATAAGAGATGAGATGAGAGTGGAAAGGAAAAAAGGCATAGACAGAAAGAATCCGAATACACCGATATGCCGGAAAAGAAAAGAAAAATTCAGTATACGCCCCCCGTTTGGTAAATAAAAGAAATAGAAAAAACAAGTGACAAAAGGCATATCCCCGAGTAAAAAAATAAAAATAAAAAAAACAGGCTGACACCGTTAAAATGAACACAAAGGCAACTATAATAATAAAAAAGACCACCCTTCACCGTTGGGAATAGAACAAAAGAAACAAATGGGAATTAGTAAACAAAAAAATGCCTAAGAACCCCCCCCCCCCGGCAGCCGTTAAAACCAATCCCGCGCAAAATCCGTTCATTAAAGCCGTGGTATGTTGAGGTGTTGAAAGGGGTGATGTTATGTGACCGATAATTATAAAATAATGTACTCCGAAATTCGAAAGAAAAAAATTCCCCCACTGGTATTTCCTGTACAAGTTTCCTTTTTCCCCTAAAACCTTCTAATTATTTTGCTTTCCTTTTTCTCCAATATTACAACCCATTACCATCCCGCCACATGATACTCATGTGTCTCGAAGTAGTGATTCCAAGAGTTGTTCTTGGATGTGTTTCCCTTATTACCCGGCATAAAGTTAGGCTGGGGATAGTCATTGAGTTTGGTAACGTCATGTGCCGTGTGTCGCCTTTTTAGGACGGCCGAAGCAGTGGTGTTCTTCTGTTGCCTCTCCCAGAGCAAATGCTGTCGGAGGGATTCGGTCAGCTCGGTCGCGAGCATGTTGCGCCTTGTGGTGCGTGGCGAAAGTGCAGGCGGATGCATGTTGCTAGTGGTCACGATGATTGGCCTCGAGTGGCTAACTTCGGCGACCGCCTTAGAAGGCAATGGCGATTCTTTGCGGGGCGAGGCGGTGAGTGAGGGACCTGAAGGCGAGGTATTGCGCGACCGGATGGCGGGTGTTGAACGGGATCCAGTGTTTGTCAACACGGGTGCTCGCTTGGGCTCATGGAGCAGGGTGGAAAGAAGCGAGCGGCGAGTGGTGAGTTGAGGGCGACTTTCCACACGCTGGAACATGGCGGCTTCAGTGTAGCTAGATTGTGCGCTATCGGTAGATGATTCCCAGTCAGAGGAACAATCATCATCATCCTCAATGGCACTCTCCGAAACGTTCTCATCGTCATCACTGAAAGTGTCCTCATCGTAAACTGTTCGTGTAGCAACCTCGTCTCTGAACGAGGTTCTTTTCCCCTTGGCTGCCATCTTCAGTCCCTCGGCCAGCTTGCTGACCTGAGGACCATGACGGCTGCGGTAGCTGAAGCTGCGACCCATATCCGTCTCATCATCGGACACCGATGAAGGTGATGAGCCAATAATCCACATATTGCTCTTTAACCTCTTGGGCGCCGCAACTGATGCCTTCATTGGGCTTGGCTCCGGCGCCATCCTCGTCTTTGACCGGTAAGATGACGATACCTGGCCAGGGGAAAATCCACGGACAACGCTGTGACTGCTTTGCTCCGATGACTTACTCGACTCCGAGCCCACGGGAGATGTATGATCGGCAGTGGAAGACATGGGTGATACCGAAGCTGTCGAAACAGCCTCTTGTTCTGGCATGGAAGGCTCCACACCGGTTGAAATCTGCGTGCTGATGAAACTCCTTCGAGAGATCCAATCTTCTGCACTCGACTTGCTCCTATCCAAATCCTCCATCAACCTGACCAAGTGCACGGGTGTCATGTGCTTCTCTTTACCTCGGTAGCGCTCGCTGGAATCACTCCGGGTCAATAAAGGGCGTGGAGATCGAATGTTAACCGCATCCGACCGCGACTCCTTCGACAACTCACACTCCGAGGCAGCGGACTCAACGCTTGTCGAAAGTTCGGGTAAATCAGAGATTTCGGAATCCTGTCGCTTCGGCTTCACCGGAACCGGAGTATTGGGCGTAGTGGTATCGTCACAGCAAAACGTCTCCCTGTTCCATACCCTCCAGCTCAGATTCTCTAACCGCCTTCCATTCTCCAAAGACTCGGCACACTTTGAAAAGACTGTATTTCCAAATCAGTATCCGTCAGAATGGCCGGGTGAGCCGAGTATCACTTACTGGTCCACATGCTGAACAAATTATCCACATTTCTCGGATCAACCTTAGCGATGTGATTAATGTCCAAAGACAACATCGGGCTTGATAGTCGCGAGGGCATCCTTATTTTCCTTGGATCCCACGCTGTATTGGAGTTTGATGTTTTACGGCTTGTATCGAAAGACAAGCCGGGCCGTGCAGTGCGAGTAATGCGGGAGAGTGTAGCGAGTGGTTGTTTTGTTTCGCGGGGGGATAGACGGTTGTGTTGGGGAAAAGTCACAAGCGTATATAGGCCAACCTTGAATGGATGATGATGGATGATGGAATGCGAGTGATAACCACCGAGGGGGGGGGAGGGATGGTTTTCTATCTTTAAGGGGGGGGGGGAGCAATGGCTTTGTAGCGAGGGAGCGTTGGGGTGAACGGCCACGGGGGAGAGATTAAGTGTGTGTGAGTGTGTGTGTGCCGTGGGTGTGTGTGTGGTGAGAGAAAAAGGCTGGAACGGTCAACGACGAGGTCTCGAGGATGTGAGGGGGTTTTAGCTGGGAGGTGCCCAGCACTGTATGGATGGGAGCTTAGATCGGATGGGAAGTGAGCGAGTGGGAGGGAGAGGTAGAGTGTGCCGGGTCTGAGACAGGAAGGCAGAGTCTACATGTACCAGTGCTTGGGCTTACCCGTCGGATGGTCTCTCTTCGGGAGATTTGGGGTATAACCGGGGGGAAGGAAGATACTCGAGTACAGGATACAGGGCACCTGGCTGTTTGCTACGGTCTCTTTTTCCTTTTTTTCTTTTTCTTTCCCTCTCTTTTTTTTCTTCTTTTCCTCCTTTCCCATCATCCTCTGCCTCTTTTCTTTTTTCTTCCTTCTTTCCCTTCGACCCATCACTTGTACCCCCCCTTGGTCTATATTTTTCCTTTTTCACCTTTTCCCAATTGCCTTCTTTTCTTCTCAACTCTAATTACTTCGTTTTTCCATTTGGTGGGATGTGCGGGAGCAGACTGGGGGATTCCCACTCAATTTGGGGGTACCGGTACTCTATCCTGGAAGGGGTTTGGGACCTGAGGGGACAAAGCCATTTTTCCTCTAACTTAAACCCACTTAATGATGCACCAGAGGCAAAACCATCAGAAGGAAATTGAAGGGTTTGTTTATTCGACTTCTGGCTGAATGGGTGGAAATATGCTAGAAGGAAAGAAGGCGAAAATATAGTGAAAATTCCCAGGGGAACGAGGTATGAGTTATCCCGGAGGGATGAATTCAAAAGAAGTGCGAGAGAGGGCCTGGCCGGCCGGATTCCGAACTTTCAATTCTTGAACACCACCTGCTGCCTCCATCACCAAAAGTCTCTCTTATGTCTCTGACCGTCACCAGTTTTTCGATCTGTGGGGGTGAAGGGATGTCCAGTTTTCACGCCGTTCTCCTCAAGGCCATGTCACCGGTACCGGTAACTTAGTCTAGGGTAGTGCGAGTAAGAAGAGAGAGAGAGAGAAGAAAAAAAAAAAAAAGAGGGACCAAAGCTAAGATGGTCCAAAAAAAAAAAAAAAAAAAAAGGCTCACTGCAATGCCACGGCTACTATATCCATCATGTCCACACTCCTCACTGCCCATCGACCCCCTCCCCCCAATGGGTTCTGTTCCTGCGCTTGCATAGGTAAAACGTCAGATTCCCGTAGTCTCCCCTTGACATTCAATTCCACCGCCAACCTTCGACTCGAGAACCATACCCGAGTACCTCCTTCCCATTTTTCACTCCCCACTACCGGTACAACGACACCGTGATTGAGGACCCCCAGTAGTACCTAAGTTTAATGCAATCGTCACTTCGATTTTGTACTCGTACTAGTACAAGGTAGAAAGAAAAAGGGAGGACGGAACAATACGAGTAAGGCCGGCCGGATACCCAACGTGGGGTACCAATACCCAATCCACCATCAATTCACCAGGGTCCCAGAGCACCAGAAATGATGGGCAGAACGACCGCTGTACGAGTACTCGAGTACGGTACCAGTACAAGTACTCGTATCATGCTTGTGCCTGGGGTACCTGCCACCTGACACGGACGCAAACGAGACAGCTTGCAAAGAGGGAAGGACAGGAAGGACAGGAAGGACAGGAAGGAAAAAAAGTCCAAACCAAACTGCCCTTGGACCTTGTCGCGCTGCGACCGTAACAGATCGCGGGGAGAGCATCCCAGCTCAGCCATGCTACTCGAGAACCGTGTATCCTCCCCCTCACCCCCAATTGGCCGCTCCCGCCCCCATGGCCCTCCACTCCCCACGCCACCCTTATCCCTACCGTATTGGGAATTCCCCCATCTCGGCACTTGATGAAGTTTCCATTCTCCACCCCTCCTCGCCTGTCCTTGTTCCGCCCGCTCGGCCTGCTTGGGGTACCGGCAAAGTTACTTCGTTTCACACGATATACCCGTACAAGTATGGAGGACAGGTATCGTGGATGACCTCCGCGTCGACAATACCGCATCCAAGAGAGGGACTTCGGGGTCACCGTCCCCCAACGGATAGGACAGCTTTGGCCCCTCTCGTTTTTGTCATTGAGCACCGGCACGTTATCGATTCACATACCGTGCTCACAATTCCGGTAACGCTTGCGGCCACTCTGCCGGGTCACTCATCTCGACAAGGCAACAAGGAAACAGATGATACAAGATGATACCCGACCGCATTGTATGGTCCATGTTTCTGGGGGCTCTCACTCCCAAAAAGTAATATCGAATTCATATAGACCTCTACCATATCACACTGCAAATCTAGCATAAACGCGCAATCGCAATCGTAACTGTGGGTACTGTACCTCGTGAGTATCAAGAAGTGATGTGAAAATGCCAACGAAGCAAACCAAATTAAACACCTTTAACCCCCCCCCCATACGATACACCCATCCACCACCCCATCCACCCCATCCATCCATCAGTGGGAAAACATGTTTGTTTACTTTTTCAAAAACATCAAAAAAACAAAAGGAAAAAGAAAGGAATCACTATCCACCCTCCTGATCATCAACCACCAGCGAAAGAGTTTCATTCATTCATTCATTCACTCCTTCCCTTCCTTCATGACAAAGAGGATATTCAAAGAGGGCAAGCGGAAGATGAAAGGCAAATTTTACCATCACTATTATCATCAGTATTATTATTATTATTATTATCATCATCATCATTGTTTCACCCCGACTAATTTCAACCATTCATGGAATTTCTAAGTCCTCCCAATGATGAACGAGTACCGGTACTGTAGATAAAATAAATAGAATCGTGATCAGCAGGTGACCAGCGATGCGCCCGCGCATTACTCGATTTCCCCACAAATACAAAAGTGATGATTCCCCATCCTCTCATTCGCTTGGCCCATGCTTCCTCCTTTCCTTTCCTTCCTTTCCTCGCTCCCATTTTTTCATTTCCTTCTCTCCTTCTTTCCTTTTTCCTTCCCCCCACCCCCACCAGGGTATCACTCGCACCGTACCGTGCTCCTACAGTACTCCCACGGACAGGCACGACCACTGGGAGAAGGGTTTATTATGGGAAGCGCCAGCTGTCCAGGCTGGAACCACGTGCCTGTCTCCTGCCTCTCGATTCAGGGCGACTAGGTTTTGGATGAGATTTTGGATTTGTATCGCTTTTGCACTATGCACTGAGGGTGCCGTGCTGTGCAGTACGGTAGGTCAGGCAAGCGCCTTCGAGGGCGAGGGTGCCCGTCGAGATGAAGTTGTCCAATGTCCATTGATTTGGACTAATCACTGTACTTGTACCCACCTTACGGTACCATCTCCCTTATTATGATAGCGTACGGTACTTATACTTACTAGTACTAGGGGTACTGTACTTGACCCTTTCTTTTTGTTTTTTCTTCCTCTTCTGATCGGGTGGCTCCGCTATCGATACGCTAGACAACACAACGCAGTCCGATGATGTGTGATGCTTTTTTTTTTTTTGATAGCGTGCTTTGTACTCGAGAACAGTACCGGTACTCGACCGTACAGTTGTGGTACCGATAATAGTAGTGGTAGCAGGACTGGTACCGGCAGTAGTTGCAGGAGTGAAAAGATATAAATAGTCATTTTATTCGAGATACTATACCGTGCAGTACAGTACTGCACAGTACTCCGCTGTATTCTTCACTCAACCTGTTAACAGATAAAGTCTATCGCATCATCCAGGAACTACGGTGCGACAATAGGGATAAAGCGACTTCATCCATCCATCCTGCCATCCATCCATCTGCCGTATCTATACATCCATAGCCACCGATTCCATCCATCCTCCCCACACTGTCCCTTCAATCCACCCATCCTGTTAACCGTAGCCGAATAGATTCTGATTATTATTGTTGTTGTTTCTACCCATTTATTTCCCCGCCGCCGCCGCCGTTCCGGAACAGGCCAAGCCTGCGGACAGGCTGGCCTTCTTCCCTCTGGCACACACTGGGCGGCTCCGCTGGTCGAGATCGTGGGGTGTGTGATGGTGGCGGTTTCAGAGCTGAGCAACTGATCTCTCTCTCTCTCGCAGAGTTGCGGTAACGTGATAGACTTACAACAGGAAAGGGGAAGAGGAGCACGGTACGGTACGAAGGGAAATACGATAACGCCGGTAGAGCACAGGAGGTTCTCGCTCGTGCTCACGCTCCACGAGTATGGGGTTAACCCCGAGGCGTCATCTGTCAGCTTACGGCGGCGGTGGTGCCTTTTTCATCGGGCAGCCCTGACTGTTTCTGATGAGTTACGAGGCGTGACAGTGTTAATATACGGCACAGTACGGTACTGTACGAGTACGGTACGGTACAATACCGGTAGTTGAAGTTATTAAACAGTTCGGACAGGATCTGACAGGAAAATAAACTACCGCCATCGCAGGTTATGCTCCTTCCCTTTTTTTTTTCTTCTCCGCTCTCCCCAATTTTCCACACCTTACCTCGACCTCACCCGGTCAGATCGTCAGCAATAATTGCCGTTTTCCCCCCTCCCTTCCCCCATACGGGTACTGTACTGGTACTTTGTGCGATAGTGGTGGATGGATGGATATGGGATACGGTAATAGTGGTGGTATCAGCTGTATCATCAGTTTAGGTTAGATACGCCCCATCATGCCGGTCGCCTAGGACTTGCGAAAGGAGCAATTGGGGTGATAGGGTTGCGGTCTGATACTCCGTTGTCTTGCTAACCGCCCAGGGTTTTTTTTTTCCCTTTCCCTTTCCTTTCCTTGCTTTTCTTCTCCTTCTGGGTTGGTTTGTTGGCTCCCACCTGATCACGTTCTTGGTGGGGGGGGGATATGCTCTGATCGTTCCATCCAACCCACGCGTGACTTCAACCGCCCTGCCCTGCCCTGCC